TTGTCTATAGAAAACAGTCACATATCCCTGAGTAAACAAGAGGCAGACTAATTTTGTTTGAGACAAGTTTGTCCATTATACTATTAGAGATGAGACTATCCACGTCTATCCACTGTGCCTGACTTTGTATTTTCTTCTCTCTTTACACTATATTTAGTTGGAGACACACTCCTTACTCACTTAACACCCTTCTCTCCAGGTTTTTTATTTTAGCCCATCTATTAAAAATAATAATCTCCAAATTACTGAAAATTTCTATTTTTCCTTTGCTAGTAACATTATCACTATTGCAAACACCATGGTTTTTATATTACCGTTGGTTCGTTTTACTAGTATCTTCCAAGTGGGATGACCTGGATGGAACTGTATACACATCCCTGCCTCACTTTTTCACCTGGAAGAAAGGTTGTAAGACTTTCTGTCCAATTGAAGTTTGCACTGCCAGAATATAAATGTAAAACAGGCAGTCATTTTGAGCACCTGAAATAGGTGTTAAAAGGTACTGTTAAGATCTATTTCTCACAAGCACACTTGTGTGTCTCCCATGCCAAAGTCAGAGTGGGAATGCAGTGAGTCCAGCGGCTGCAGGCTCAGCTGCCCATGGCTCAGCCACCCAGGCAAAGCAGGAACAGAGTCTTGTGCATGCTCAGCTGGAGACAGTTTGCACAAAGCAGGGACCTCTGGGGAAAAAAACCTCCGCGCTCTAAACTGTTTTTGGATGTGATGTCTCTCAGCTGGAGGGAACATATGGAGACCTGCTGGCGTGGGTCAAAGTGGTCACAGACCACAGTGGAGGGCTCTGGCATTGTACACCCTAAGGATGGGGAACAGACAGTGGCAGAGGACAAAGATGCCTGATTTGTCCTCTCAGACAGAAATCAGTTGCCATCCACACTCCAGTGCCAATGCTAACTATTAGGGAGGCGGTCAGGGTGGAAGGGGGCGGGGGAGATTGACTGAAGTCAAGTCCGTACATTAAAATGCCCAGAAACATGTTTTCCATTCAGTGTTGGTGCCTGCCCAACAGGCAGACATGCGGCTACACTGAGAGTCCACACCCAACACAGATGCCTACAGGGAGCTTCCTGTAGGAAGAGGGAAGCACAGGCAGGACCACCTCCAGAGGGTCCCGCAGGGTCCCACATCTCTGGCTGCAGCCCAATGCTGTGTGCGGTTCAGAGCACGAGCTTTGGAGCTCAGACCCATGAGCTCAGGTCCTGCCTCTGGTTCCAACTCCCTGGTTTGGGGAAGGTGATTTAAGCCACTCCCAGCCTCCACTCACCCACCTGTAAAATGGGTTTCATAAAAATGTCGACGTTCATAAAGTTGACTAATTAAAGGAAGTAATTCGTGTAAAGCACTTAGCAGAGTATAAAAAGAGCATAATATGTGGCTATTACTATACTAATTCTTCCTTAATAATCCTTTTATTCTCTCGTTTTCCCTTTGCATACACAGAACACTTAAACAATGTTATCCAGAAATTCAGCCAGCACCTCTTGGTTCCGAGAAGAGATAAGAAATAATATGTGCCTATAGAGACGGAGGAGGCATGAGAAGGGAGCTGAGAAATCACAAATCACTAAGTTTGCAAGAATCTGAGCCACTGACTTGCCTGCCTTTAGCAGTCATCAAGCCTGCAGGAGCTGCCGGAGATGGGTGACGAAGATGAACCTGTGAACATGTGTCAGGGGGAGAGAGGTGCTATGGGAGAGTCACGATACAAGGGAAGGGGAGGAAGGGAACTACGGGGATACTGAGGAAGAGCATTCTAGGCAGAGGGAACGGCCTGTGCAAGGGCTCAGGTCGGGCATGAGGGTGAGTTCAAGGATGGCATGGCACAAGCCAGAGGGCCTTGTGGGAGCCTGCATCAGAGGAAAGGTGGACATGGATGGTGATCTCTGCCTAGCACTGACAGGGGTCTCCAGGACATCTTCTTGCAGGAGATTGGGTGGTGGGGCACAGGACAGTGAGGAGCTGAATTGTTTGGGGTCTGATGAATCAGGGGTGATTATGGCCTAGGAACAGGAGGAGCAGCACCTATGCCAGGCTCTGTCCTGTTTGGTACTTTTAGCCATTACTTAAAGGCACAAAGGCCATGTTTATCCACTTGACAGGCAAATGTATACAACTTACTGGTCACCAGAATCAAGACTCAAAAGAATCACGAAAGGACTGCTCAAAACTGATTAATACTTTATAGGTACCGACTATTTGAGGAAAAAAAGCTTCTCAAGTATAGACATTACTCCCCCCGGCACCAAGAGATAGCGTCTCACTCTGTCACCCAGGCTGGAGTGCAGGGGTGTGATCACAGCTCACTGTAACTGCAAACTCCTGGGCTCAAGTAATCCTCCTGCCTCAGTCTCCCAAGTAGCTAGGACTACAGCTTCACAACACCATGCTCAGCTAGTTTTTATTTTTTGTAGAGCCAGGGTCTCACTATGTCGCCAAGGGTGGCCTCAAACTCCTGGCCTCCAGGGATCCTCCTGCCTTGGCCTCCCAAAGCACTGAGATTACAGGCATGGGCCACCGTGCCAAGCCAGGAATCAATCCAAATTTAAATAATCGTTCATATCCCAAAGGACAAGATACAATAAGAGCTGAGAAAGTGAGTTAATCACTTAAAGCAGAAACAGATTAAGGTCAATCTGCATTAACACAGCAGTGGCAGGTCAATGGAAGGAGCAACACACTGCCAGAGCCAGAGGCCAAGTGAACAACAAGTTCAACTCAGGACTCCACGAGGGGCAGAGACTCTTCGGAGGACAGGACTTGGACCAGCGGTTCCCCAACAGTGACGAGGGCAATTCCCCTGGAGAAGAGAGCTAAAGGAGCAGCAGCTTCCATGGTCCTCCGTCATCTGAAGGGCAGGAAACAGATGCAAACACATTCTGTGTGGCTTCACAGATCAGAGAAGAAGTCAGGAATGAGAGGACAGGGAGGCAGGATGCAGCTCAGTCTATGAATGCTCGTTTAGAAACTTGTAACTGTTCTGCGATGGAGCAAGCAGTCATGCGTGGCCCCTAACACATCCTGGCCACTGCACAAAGCATTTCCAAGCAGAAATTTCCAAGTGACCACGCCCTGTGAGGTATGGCCACTGCAACACAGAGGCACTCTTTATTAAATACTGAAACTCGGGTTCCTGCACCCCTGTTCTACAGTTTCAGACATGAATCAGTTTCATTCCTCCTCCAGGGCCTCCCTCTGGTGGCTCTGGTTCCCACTGTCCCACTCCACACCCTCCAACAGGGTGCTACAGGACCTGAGAAGAAGAGCCCTTCTCTGCAGCAAGCAGGCCTCTCTACGGGGCAGGGGAAGAGAGAAGCAGCCATCCGGCTCAGGCTGGCAGCAAGAGAAATCAAACCCTGGCCAGGCTCAGCAAGTCCACCGAGGGGCCACCCATGGCAGGAATACTTTACAGGTACAAACCACTTGAGGGAAAAAAGGTGCTGGTGAGTGGCAGCTCCATGGTGCCTCCACATGGAAGGGCTGAGGCAAGAGAAGCAACGGGCCAGGCTTACCAGAGGGACCTCCACAGCATGGGAGGTGACATTACCCTGGAAACGTTCGCATCACTGATTTTCTTTCCAGTACTATGCATTTTGAATGCTTTAAAAAAATGTACACTTTGGGAGGCTGAGGCGGGTGGATCAGAGGTCAGAAGATCGAGACCATCCTGGCTAGCACGGTGAAACCCCGTCTCTACTAAAAATACAAATTAGCCGGGCGAGGTGGTGGGCGCCTGTAGTCCCAGCTACTCGGGAGGCTGAGGCAGGAGAATGGCGTGAACCGGGAGGCGGAGCTTGCAGTGAGCCAAGATCCCGCCACTGCACTCCAGCCTGGGCGACACAGCAAGATTCCATCAAAAAAAGAAAAAAAAAGTATCAGTAATGATAGCATGCTGCCTTGTCTCAATCAGTGTGGCAACAGACATAATTAATCCCAGGTTATAGGTGGTAACTTTAGACAGCCTGTTCTGGTTCACAGCTCCTAAGGGGAAAAGCTGGGATCTGAATGCAGACTCCGAAGTCCACGCTTTGGTTACAGGGTAGCTAGTCAGACACCAGGAGGACAGGAGAGGGCCCCTCCCAGATACACACCAGCAATGTCAGGGGACCATCAGGTGATGGTCAAGCATTTGTTAACTGTTTCTCTAAAGTGAGAACTGGTCACAGCCGGCACGAGGGAGGGGCGGGCTCCCAGTAGATACAAAACACCTGAAACTGGTAAGTAGCAGCTTCCCAGTAAGATCTCGGGAGCTGGGCGAGTGGGCTCAAGCATGCGCATTAAGAGGCAAAATGGCGGAGTTTAACTGGTGCATAGCGCTCCTCTAGGAATGCTAGACTGGACAGGGAAGAACGCCTCAAGTAAGCACGCCTACAACTCCAGTAAACACCCTGCGCATGCTCCCCCGCAACCCCCGAGTGCTAGCAGGCCACTGCACATGGGGACAGCCCACCTCAAGGGAGGAATCAGGGGAGAAGGAACGCAAGACCCCGGCAGTATGCCAACATACAAAACCCCAGGTCAAAAGCCCAAATCACACACTTGATCTCTCAAGCTGCCCACCTGACCATCTTCCAAGTGTACCTGACGTCCTTTCATTCCTGCTCTGGTATTTTTAGTAAACTTTCACTCCTGCTCTAAAACTTGCCTCAGTCTCTCCTTTTGCCTTATGTCCTAGGAGGCAAGAAGTGAGGTTCCTGCAGACCTGTCCGGATTCACCGCTGGTAACGCTGTGACCACTCTCAACATCAGAGCTCTGCGCCCGTTTATGGAGAGGTTACCCTAAATGAGCTCTAAATTCCTTCCCTAAGAAGTGTAGGGTAACCTCTAAACTCCCTCCCTAGTTACCTTTGTGACTGCCTCAGACCTGCCAATACTGAAGAGGACAGCGCCCTGCTTTCTTACCAATATGATGGGGCTCCCAGGGTCCTCTGTCAGCTGGATGTTTGCTGCTCTTTTTGAGGTTTCATTTCAGGTACGGGCCTTACCTTCGTATCTGCTGGAAGCATCGCACGCCTTCTGCGGGGTGGCTACTCGGAGGAATATCTGCTGCCTCCAGGAGTGCCTCCGGGTCTTCACAGGGGTCCCACCAGAATCACCAAGATGGTTTGCTTTGGATTCGAAGTCCCTAAAATTATAAGATGATTGATTTATGACTAGTGGGGAGGAATTCACGAGATTTTGCTAGCTTAACAGTTTTTTTAAACAAAGCACTAAATTATCAACTATCTTTGTATAAACAATCACAGGAGTTATATCAAGCTCACAGTGGGTCATCATTCCTAAAGAACGGCTTTCTTACAGAATTCTTTTCATAAAAAGAGAACGATTACATGCCCTTAAATGATTTCGATTGTAACAGAGATTAAGAAACATGTTCCACATATCATAGCTTCCAACTGGCCTCTCTGGGTGCCACTTTGAAAAAGAGAAACTGCCTAAAGGGGGAAAAGCGGGGGCAATGCCAAGGGGCCCCATTCTGCTCTCCTCTGTACATGGGAATATCTGCTCAGCACAGGCCCATGTCTCCAAGGATTCCCACAAAAAATGAAACAAGTTGCAATTTAATTACACAGAACCAGCAAGGCAATAACTATGCAGTCAATTGATGATGATGATGTTTTAATGTGTATATTTTTTAAACTACAAAATATAGTTATCAATATATAAACACAATCTAATCATACATTTTTTTCCTATTCACAGGACAACCTGAGAAGACCCTTCTAATTTATACCTAAGTTGCGTACCTGTAACTAAGCAATCCCCTCAACTTACAGATTAGACGTCCTGAACAGATCAGACATCCTGATTTGAAACAGCCATATGCTCACTACCCAGAAACACTGGTCTCAGAGACTTGACGAAGATTTTCCTTAAGATAACACTTAAATAAACTAATCCTCAATCTCAAAACTGAAGAACAGGTTGGTTGCACATTTTTTAAAATGACATTCAGTAAGAAAAAAGTATAAGAAAGAAGATACAACAGATTTAGCTGAAATGATTTTTTAAATGACAAAACAGTAGTTAAAACACCTTGTATATCTAATGATATTCAACACTTAATAACACCCAGGGTTGATATATCTAAATTAAGCCCTACCTTTTGGTGTTCATAAAGTCAGAGGTGTTATTTTCATCTACAGGAGCCAGAAATTTTAGAAAATTTGGCACAGAGGAAGAAGAATGAAGTTTTTTCCGCAGGGCATTACGGTAGGAGATGCTAAGAGTTTGGTTGAAAAAAGAGTTTAGGATAAAGAAACATAAAAACACAAAGTATAAAATATAAGCTTCAAAATAAACATTTTTGTTCTAATGCTAAGAAAAGTAAACTAGATAAGAAAGTAAAAGTAGTTCACGAATGAGATTTAACTTTCATTTTCACCAACAAAATTTGATTTTAAATGAATGGGATAATTTTTTAAAAACGAAAACCAATCCATTTTCCAAATGACTCTTCCTTTCAAACTGGGAAAAATAATTCTCCTAAATCAATCAGGAAGTTTCTGATATAGCACAAATGGCAGTGTACATGATCAAACACAGATGTTAATCTGTGTGTGTGTGCATGTGTGTGTATACACATGCATGTTAAGTGTCCACTAGGGCAAGGAAATGTGAAAATAAGCATATAAAAAACAATTTGCAGCAGGGTACAGTGGCTCACACCTGTAATCCCAGCACTTTTGGGAGACTGAGGCAGGCGGATCACTTGAGGTCAGGAGGTCAAGACCAACCTGGTCCACATGGTGAAACCCCATCTCTACAAAAAAAAATTAAAATACTAGCTGGGCATGGTGGCGTGTGCCTGTAGTCCCAGCTCCTCGGGAGGCTGAGGCAGAAGAACTGCTTGAACCCACGAGGCAGAAGCCGCAGTGAGCCGAGATCACGCCACTGCACTCCAGCCTGGGGAACAGAGTGAGACCCTGTCTCAAAAACAAAAACAAACCCAAACACAAACCAATTTGCCATTAACATCTGTTTTCATAATTTTAAGAAAAGTAATCAACAGTAAAATTAACTTGGTTCAAATGACAGCTGAAAATAAGACCAAATATAAACAAAGAGACACAGACACACACACACACATACACACAAACACACACACAGTGGCTCTGCTTCCTGCATGGACATTCCCCCCATTCAGCACGTCCTCATCAGTGTGAACTCCCCAGGAAAACAGACAACACCAAACTTGCCACGTGAGTGAGCTCACCTCTTTGGCACAGCATTCCCACTTTGTTCTCCACTGGAATTATGTTTTAAGTACTTAAAAAAGTTTGGCGAGGAGGCGGAGGGGTTAAGACGAGGTGGAGGAGCAGGAGCTGAAGACTGACCTGGGCGGTGCTTAGACTCACCCACAGGTGAAGGATCCACACTAAACAGCAATCAGAGAAAGCACGGGGGGGTTAGCAGGAGAGGGGGCGCCGACAGGGACACGGAGCAAACAGATGGAAGGAGCACAACTGCTTTTGTCTCGTTGTTCCAGTAACACTGTCAGAGTGGAGGACTTCTTCCACTCCTCTTCCTCATCTCTGCTCGCTCTCTGGCAAAGGTAGTTTTCACTAAAAAACAGAGTATATCGACGGCCATTCTTGACCATCTCCCACGTGTTTATGCTCCCAGCAATACTTTTTTTTTTTTTTAAATAGGTCTCACTCTGTCACCCAGGCTGCAGTGCAGTAGCACGATCATAGCTGACTGTAACCTTGAACTCTTGGCCTCAAGCAACCTCCCACCTCAGCCTCCCAAAGGTCTGGGATTACAGGAGTGAGCCACTTCGCCCAGGAACAATAGTATTTCTTTCTCTATTTCCTTTTTCAGGAACTGGCAGGAAAAAAAAAAATTCAATTAAAGTATAAACAAAAGCAAAAAAAAATCTGAACTTTAAAAAAATACATTTCCCTTTAAAATGAACAATATCCTGTCCTGAATTTCAATGTCTTATTTCCTGCAGATAAATCAGAAAAGAGTTCACAAGAGGGAAAGAAAGCAGAATGGGCCATGCTAGCGAGGCAGACAGACAGGCATCTCCCCATCCCTCTCATTACGGATGTGTAACATCATCTATTATGAAGCCACATTCTTCACGGAGAAAGGAAAAGTACTGATACTGAGTCCTACCAACTATGGCTTTTGAGAAACAGCAGACTTCACAAGAGAACTAGGACTCTCCAGACAGGAATGTTTCAATGATCACTGAAAACGCCAACAACAGAGGAGTGGGCAGGCAGTGGTGAGGCAGAACAGAAGTAGTGTGTGGACAGGGTGTTAAACACAAGAAACTTACAGGGCTACAACCCAATGATGTGTGTCTCTAAAAGCGTGTATTTATTAAGCAGTACCTTCTGACGTGTCCCCTGCTTTTGGGATCACCACTACCCCACTGAATTCCAAACAACCAAGAACTCTTTCCAATGGCTGATAGAAAACAAAGCTGGGAGGCTCTGCTCCATCATCCAGGGCTGTTAATGCTCACACTTCTTTACTCAGAACATTCCAAACACTTCTGTACTACGCACACTCTCAATGATTCATGTATGAACTACATGAACACACAGGTCCTGGGACTTCTGCGGCTGCCAGTCAGAAGAAGGCAGCAACTGTACACAGGTGTGACCCTGATTCATATTAGGTGAGGGATTTTTTAAATTGCTTAAAGTTGTTTTTAAAGATAACTCTGTGTCCATTCATAGTCTCTGGCACATAGAGTCAAATGAATCACTAAGGGACACTTGGAAGGAACAGGGGGCACTTCTGAGTACCCTTCTCCATAACCAGATGATTCTAACTGGTCACTGAAACCCAACTGTTACAATGAATAAATCTTGTTAGAAGAATCTAGAATTCTTACAGTGAGAGATTTTAGAAAACATCTACTCCAATTTTGTGATACAGAGAAGTTTAGCAAATTTGTCCACATCACAATTGTTCACAGTAGAGCTAGGACCAGAAGCCGGGGCACCCCTGTCACTCCATAAGGTCAGCATACCTCTCCTGCTCTGCCTGTAGGGGTCACCGCCTCTCCCTCCCGCTGTAGCCCTGCTCCAGGGCTTCGGATGGGGAGACTCATCTGCTTGCCCTCTTCCTCACAGCAGCAAAGTTCCACAGCCAGCAATGTCTCTTACTTTGTTTGAGGAGTAATGACTGCGCATGTCAGGTAACATTTTTGCTCACTTTCACCTGCTTCCTGACAATGCAAGTATCCATTGCTTGTATACACACCAGCAGCTCGAACAAACATGTCACTGCTTCCAGTTTTATCTCTTTGAACCAAGAGTAAAGCCTTACTCGTTTCTCTCACTCAGTAAACATACCTGGGACGCACATACCCGGCTAGTCACAGATATGCCCCAGCTATTTATGCAACAAATGTAAACAAATCTTACTTTCGTTCATGAGGCGTCTCTGTGCTCACTGAGTGATACCTCATAAGTTTCCTTTGCGAAACCCCCGGGGACCCCCGGGCAGGTTGTGGAGGTTCCTGGCATTCCATGGGGAAGTGACTCAGGGTATTTGCTCGCCTCCTGAAGGCCTGCTGGGGCGACAGCGGAGCTGGCTCTTCTGGGAGATGACTCTCTGAGTCACTGGACAGGTCCTCCGAGGAGCCGAGGAGCTTAAAGGAGCTCTCAGAGATGGGCAAGGCCTCCTTTTCACACACAGATGGCTCCTGGCAGCAAACACACAGCAGATCAGACACGCCATGGGGAATGTGTGGGATTTATAAATCTCTAGTTCCAGTGCAGGCAAACATTTCAGTATCTAAGGATGTGTTCTGATTATAATGCCATCTAGAGGCCACCACCAAAAGCAGAAGAAAATGAAGGTCCATTAAATAAATGCCAGCTCCTCAAGGACACACTGCTGGCTTGCTGGAGAAGTGGGAAAACTGGCCAAGTGCAGGAGTGGAGGACATAAGCCACAATCTGTAACGTTCTGGGCAACGCCACGAATAGTGCCCTCTCTCTAGAAAACAGGACTGTTTCCTACAGCTTCTAAGGAGTGTGAGTGCTGGACAACTTGTCTCCACGGCTTAACCAAGTTCTTTATCTTTGCCACATGTGTTCACTCATGTTAAACCCACATTTTAAAGCTCTCTCCGAATCTGATCTACTGTTGAGATTCAACTTCATAATCTGAGATTAAGAACTGTATCAATATTCTTAGAATATGGAAAATCACTCTGTAGGCACTTATTGCTGCAATTCAGGGGAAATAATTTCTTTCTGCACCTCAATTTCTTCATCTGTAAGAGGGTATAGTAAAAATTTATCTGAGTTTCAAGAACAAAGCAAGATAATAAAACCAAAAGTACTTTTTATGTTGTAAAATGTTATACAAACGTAAGGTATTGTTTTATTAGGTATGCAACAATCTGTGGAGTGCTCAAACATTTGTTGAGAATCATGACAACATTTTCAAGTTGTATGCCTTCACGATGCATGCTTTTTCAAAGGAGTGAACTACTACCACTCGAGCAAACTGATGTTTAGCACTGCACCCAGGACGTGGCTAGTGGCCAATATATTTTTAATATATCTAAAATATTTAAAAAGAGGAATTGTAGCAGCTTTCCCCTATTGAAATTGTTGAAAGGGAAAAAATAAATCAACATGAATAAACAGGAATGAATGTATCTAATAGTGGACTGGAGACTCTGAATTCTACCTGTTCATTTGATACACAGTTGAGTGCCTTTTAGGTAGCAGGTATTGAGGGTTTTAATTTGAAAAAAAAAATGAAATTTGTTTATTAAAGGGAGAAGTTACATATATTTAATTTTATAAAAAACATCAGCATACTATGAAATGTTGATTACTTTCATAACTCAAGTTTCTCATTCTTCAGTACTCAATGGCTGTGAAGATTCTTTTAAGGATTTAAAAGTCTGTCTAAGACAACACATCACAGAAGACAATCTTCATCATGCAAACCTGTTGATCTAAGTTCTTATTAATATCCCTCCAAATGAGATCAAAGAGCTAACCCTTAGCTTAATTGGACAACTGAAAGGGCCATTTTCATTTGTCAAATTTCAGGGCTATTTGGCTTCTTTGCATCTCGTACGTGACCAATTTATTAGAACAGATCAAATTACATAAAACAGAGTATCTTTATAGCAGTTTCTCAATTCAAGATGAATAAAAGAAAGATGTAAAGAAGTACGCATAAACATACACAATACACGCAAGCAGCTTCTGAAAAGTAGCATCTCTCTTAGAATGACTCTAGAAATTGAAATCTTAGATAGACTTTTATAACTTTTTAAAAGAATCTTCACAACTATCAAGTACTGAAGAATGAATATGTATATATTCCTATTTCTGCATTTTAGAGAAAAATAAAAAGCAAGCAATAAGGCTTACTGGAAAGCCACCTGAGTGACATGAATTTCTTCATTGTATCTCTATTGACACTGGTCTGTCTGGAATGCCTTCTTCTCTGTTCACTTCCATAGGCACAATTCCTACACCAAGATTTAGTCCAATAGCATCACTGGCCCCTTACCCCTCACCTTTTTCCTGGTTCCACTGACCAAACCTAACTTCCCCTCCCCTTGCTCTTCTGACATTGAAGTTACCAATGTCTCTTATTAGTAACTTCTGGGCTCCTACCACACTCTGCTTGATGCTGCAGCTGTTTGTGCATCTGTCATCTCTCACCTCCTAGGTAACTGCCTACATGAAAGGGGCTGTGTGTGGTTCATCTGTATACAACAAATAGACAAAAGGTTTTCCACACTTGCAATGAATTGCAGGGTGGGATCAGTGTGTATTAGACGGAGGCTGGACGACACTATGTTCCCCTGGATTTTAGCTTAGAAACTCACATTTACAAGACTGCTGTCTAGCGCCTCACTCCCCAGAGGGGGTCTGCAGACCAGGAGCAGCAGCATTGCCTTGGAGCTCGTTGGAAATGCACCATTTCAGGCCTCCTCTAGTGCCTACTGAACCAGAATCTGCACTTTAACCAGAACCCCATGATGAAGGCACCTAAAATTTGAGAAGCACTCATCTAAGGAAGTGTATCTCAAACTGGGCCCTCTATCACGTTAGTAGGTGGTACAACTGAGTAGTTTGCCATGAGCATTTTTAAAATGGAACAAAATATCAGTATGTATTATATGTTGTTCACAGTAAATATTGTTTTGTTAACTTTTAATTTTGTGTGCGAATGTGTAGGTATGTGTGTGTAGGTATGTGTGTTTGTGAACTACGCCACAATGTTAAATGTGCTTCTTCCTGTAGGTTAGAAAAATTCTGAAAGCCATGTGTCTAGGAGGGATGGCAGAGGACTGTAAACCCTGCCTGTGGTAAGGAGCTGGACTCCGCAAACACTCCCTCCCTCACTACAGCAAAAGAGAGTCCTCTGGTAGCAGAAGGGGAAGCTGGCCCCCCAGCACAAAACCCAAACCTGCTTTTCAGCAGTTATAAAGTTGAACTGACCAGGTTTAAATATGATTAAATGTCTGGAAAGCAAGTTATTAAAAGAAGGACATAGATACTTGCTTATTTAAATGAAACAGTAATGGTTCATTATAATCATAGAGCCAGCTACAGGATAAAGTTTCAGAAATTTAATTTCCCCAAAAGTGGGGGAGAATGAAAGGGGGTGTGAAAGTTGAAAAATTAACTATTGGGTACAATGTTCACTACTTGGATAAGGGGTACACTAGAAGCCCAGTCCCCACCAGTATGCAATATACCCATGTAATCAACATGCACATGTACCCCTAAATCCAAAATAAAAATGTTTTTAAACAAGAAAAATTTAAGTTGTATACTCCTCTAAATTCACAAATCCACTTTTTGAGGTTTTCCCAATATTAATTATTTTTTAATAGGAAAATCTACTTGAGAAAGAAATCCATTGATTGTATTGTGACAAATTAGATCTTACTTGTCTCAAATTGTGATCTTGTTTCTTTGTTTATGGAATGACCATCTGCTTTTTTAAAAAATTTTATTTATTTTTCTTTTTGAGACGGAGTCTCGCTCTGTCGCCCAGGCTGGAGAGCAGTGGCTCGATCTTGGCTCACTGCAAGCTCCGCCTCCCGAGTTCACGCCATTCTCCTGCCTCAGCCTCCCTAGTAGCTGGGACTATAGGCGCTAATTTTTTGTATTTTTAGTAGAGACGGGGTTTCACCGTGTTAGCAAGGATGATCTCGATCTTCTGACCTCATGATCTGCCCACCTTGGCCTCTGAGAGTGTTGGGATTACAGGCATGAGCCACTGTGCCTGGCCCCATCTGCTCTTTCATGTAAAACTTTTATGTTATGATAGACCTGCATGACCAGTCATCCACCTGTGCCAAGAAATTTGGAAGCAACAAATGATTGGAGGCATGTAGACAGGAGATGAGCAAGACCGATTTGTTGATTTCTTCAGGGTGTCATATAAAGAGAAATGTGCTTACTTTGCTGGTGTTACTTAATGTACTAGACAGGGAGCTATCCAGATCCACACTGCTGGAGTGTTCCTGCAGGCCTCTGGCTTTATTACCCTATATAAAGAAAAGGCAGTCGAGTTATGACCCTGGAGGCTTTTGCAAAGGCATCAGCTAGAAGCAGATTGGTCCATTTAAATAAGCTGAGGAAAAAAATATATCTACTGAGAAATGCTACTAAGGATATATGTACATTAAAATAATCAACATTTCCATCATTTAAAAAAAAAAAAAAAAGACACTAACCTAAACGTTCCAAAACACCTGGCGGCTGAGTAATTTGGCAGGGGTGACAGGCAGGAAGACAAGACAATTCGTCTATAAGGAAAATCAAGCGCTCAAGCAAGCCCACTCAGCAACTCCCTCCCCTGGGTCACAAGTCATCATAATGGCCAGCAGCTTGTCACTCAGACAGCACTCTATCCCTCTGGGAGCTCTCAAATGCAGCCCCTCCCAATTCTGGTTTTGTAAATCAACTGTTTTTCATGATCTCAGAAGATACTACAAAATTCTCAGAAACATCTTCAAAGAAAATAAAATTTTACTTTCCTTAATTAAAAAAATAATAAAAATCAGATGTTTCAAAAGAAGTGTGTGATAAAATCAAGAAGAACTATAAGAAGATACTGCATACTCCAGAAAGGCGTGAAACTCTGAGGGAAAATCAGATTTGATTTCTCAGACGTGCCATCAAGGCTATTTACACTCATGGGAGGGAGGTGTAATTTCTTAAAGAACTCCCAGACTGATGTACGTGTGTACTTTGTTCTTTCTATAGAGCTATATTTGGTAAACGTTTTCTGTAAAGGGACAGATAGTAAGTGTCTTATGCTTTGTGAGGCATATAGTATCTGTAGCAACTGTTGAAGTCTGCAAAACAAAAGCCTTAGATAACAGATAAATGAATGGATGTGGCAGTGTTTCGATAAAACTTTACAAAAGTAGAGGTGGGTGGAATGTGACCAATGGGCATGTTTGCTGACCCCTACTATATAGCCTTTTAGAAACCTAACACCAGCAGCTGACAGTAACTGCTTTTTAAGTTATACACAGTAGTACTAGGGAGAACAGAAGCCACACCTCAGTGTATCTAAGGCATGCTCTTTATAGGGACTGGTCAACAAATACTATTTGGGGAGGTAAAAAAAATCCCATTGGATATAATACAAAAGAGTAAGGAATACATATTCTTTTAAACCTAGGTCAAATTAAAAACAATTTAAAATGTATATAATATTGTTCTAAGCCTCAGAAAACATTAAAAAAAGGTTTTATACTTTTACCTTTATGAACATTGATGGAATAAAAGCATATAACTCAATCTAACACTCTCCTAAAAAGTGATTTAACTTAAATTGGGGGAAATTATGCTACTTACCCGGGACAAAATACTTTCTAAAGACTCTGTTAAAGATCTCTTTGCTTTGTTTTTCAGCAGATCTAGCCTAAATCGAGTGGCACTGGGTGGTAATTCACTTCCGATATTCTCTGCTGCAATCTGCGATGTCTAAAAAAGTGAAAAATGAAAAGTTAAGTCACTTATCGCTTCCTCCTCTCCTTCTTAAAGGAATGAAGAATCTCTAGGACACATCTTTTTGGCACCAGGCCATCATTCTGATTCTGTCTGTGATCTCACCTCATCTGCTCCTTAGTGACATGGCTGCAAGTCCAGGAAATAATTTTGCCTCAGAGAGCTGCTGTGATTACCCCAAGTAAAATGAGGAAATGTGCTTTGAAACCAATCAGGTGAAGCAGTTTATTGCTCAGACTCTGCAACTGGATCAGAGATCTGTCTTCCCTAACTGTGGTCTTCTGCCAGTTTCTTACTCTCTCTGAGCCTCAAACTTCCTCTTCAGCAAAGTGAGACCAATGGCAAGATCGAATCATAACACTGTGTTGTGAGACTAAAACAGGTAAAGTGTGTAAAGCATTGAACACAGCGTGGGACAAAGGTAGCTATGATTAGTTTTTCAAAATAAAGCAATAACTTACCTTTGAGGGCATTTCAGATGGTGAGACAACAGAAATTTCTCAATTAAAGAACATATTTTCTCTGCCTATACAAACCCTTCATCCCTTTCTACAGATCTCTGCTTTCTTGCATTTTCCTCTCTCCTACTTTTATTTTCCCATCGTCCTTTCATTCTCTGCAACCAAGCTTCTCTCCCTTAACTACTGGCCATAGAAAATGAAAATAAAAATACAATGGAGTTGTACTAAATGAAGTCTTAGTGTTACTTATTTACAAGGACGTGCTTTTCTGTTTATGTTTTTGTTTTGAGACAGGGTGCCAGGGTCTCACTTTGTTGCCCAGGCTGGAGTGCAGTGCCACAATCATGGCTCACTGCTGTCTTGACCTCCTAGGTTCAAGCAATCCTCCCACCTCAGCCCCCAAAGTAGCTGGGACTACGCGCAGCTAATTTTTTGTATTTTTTGTAGAGACGGGGTTTCACCACATTGGCCAGGCTGATCTCAAACTCCTGAGCTCAAGTGATCTACCTGCCTTGGCCTCCCAAAGTGCTGGGATTACAGGAGTGAGCTAACACACCCAGTTGAAGGTACATTTTAAAAAAATATACAACAAATATCTCTGAATTTGTTTCTTATGTGGATTCTCACCTGATTGCTTTCTGTTAGAAAATAATTTTGTTAGAAAAACAAACAGCCAGGCGCAGTGGCTCATGCCTGTAACCCAGCACTTTGGGAGGCCAAGGTGGGTGGATCACCTGAGGTCAGGAGTTTGAGACCAGCCTGGCCAACACAGGGAAACCCCGTCTCCACTAAAAATACAAAAAATAGCCAGGCGTAGTGGCGCACACCTGTAATCCCAGTTACTCAGGAGGCCAAGGCAGGAGAATCACTTGAACCCAGGAGGTGGAGGTTGCAGTGAGCCGAGATCATGACACTGCACTCCAGCCTGGGCGACAGAGTGAGACTCCATCTCAAAAACACACACACACACACACACACACACACACACACACACACAAGCAAATCCCCCATTACTCTAAATACTGACATATTATTTGTTGCAGTTGTTATATTTCAAGCACACAGAAAAGTGTAGAGACTAATATAACAAATAAATACCTTTGTATCACCACCTGGCTTTGTTCAAGTGAGCGTTTGCCAGGGGTTGAGAATAGTGAAAAGCACAGCTCCGGAGTGCAATGCCCAGGTGAAATGTTCCTCTGCTATTCCCTGGCTCTGTGGTCTTGGCCAAACTGTTATCTCCTGTCCCTTTCAGGCCCTCTACCTGCAGCCTGAGGATGCATAGTGAACTTTCCTCGTGGAGCTGTCATGAGGCTTAAATGAATGAATACAAATCAAAACACATATACCAAGGCAGGGTACAGTGGCTGATGCCTGTAATCCCAGAACTTTGGGAGGCTGAGGCAGATGAATCATTTGAGGTCAAGAGTTCGAGACCAGTCTGGCCAACATGGCGAAACCCTGTATCTATTAAAAATGTAAAAATTGGCCAGGTGTGGTGGCACATGCCTGTAATCCCAGCTACTTGGGAGGCTGAGACAGGAGAATCACTTGAACCCAGGAGGTAGAGATTGCAGTGAGCTGACATCGTACCACCGCACTCCAGGCTGTGTGACAGAGTGAGATTTGTCTCAAAAAATAAAAACAAAAAATGTAAACCAGACACTCAAAAAACGTCAGATATCATGACTATTACCTGTTCTATGAGCCTTTTTTTCGTTTTTGTTTTTTGAGATGGAGTCTCACTCTGCTCGCTCAGGGCTGGAGATGGCACTGCGTGCGATCTTGGCTCACTGCAACCTCCACCTCCTGGGCATCAAGCAGATTCCTCATGCCTGCAGCCCTCCCAAGTAGCTGGCGGACTCCAGGTTCTGCGGCCACCACCATCTGGGCTAATTTTGTATTTTTGTAGAGGATGCGGGGTTCGCATGTTGGTTTTTTTTATCAGGCTTGGTTCTCCAACTCCTGGCCATATTAGCACGTACCACCTCCTTGGCCTCCAAGTGGGCTGGAATTACAGTGTGAGCCACGTGTGCCCAGGCCTACTTCCTACTTTTAATGGGAACCACTAAGACATCTTGAAGCTTAAGTCACACGACTTCCCCACCAGTCTGGCCATATGCAGGGAATACTTGGGTGTTTATCTCTATCAATTCCTGTTTTCTACTTTTATATGTACTGTATGGTGTCCATAAGATAGTGTATTGAAACCTAATGAAAGGTGTCATTAACTGCAACATCTCCTGTAAATTAGCATTTTCCTTCTTTCAATACTATTTGGATTTACCTCCTGCGTGACAAATGTTTTTCTGATTCACCACCTTTAGCCAGAGTGCACATTTCACTGTATAACCTAATTTATCCATGTTCCTATTGTTAAAAACACTATTTGCTTGTTTTTTCCTTGCTTTACAAAGGAGGCTAGCAGTGACGCTCTCTTGGTACAGAGCTCCTTAACAGAATGCACGTGAAAGTATTGGCAAGGGAAACTAATGAGGAATGTTTCCCTCCCTGGGTCAACAGGATGTGCCTCTTCAGCTACACCAGGATACTCTATTCAAGCATTCTCTCCCCTGGAATGGATACCAATTCCATATTCTCAGCATCAGTTAGGAAAGTCACCTTTATAAGGTATGTCTTTTAAAAATTTCTGCCAGTCTAATGGCATAAAACTTCCTTAACTTATGTCTTCCCTCATTCTATTGCTATTTAGGCATTATTTTATTCAGTCAATCCTGCTGTTCGAAACCCTTAGTGTCTTCTTTGATAATGGAAGAGTGTAATTTCCACTAATGAATGTAACAATTTTCCCCCCAAAAAGGGGGGGGGGGCCCCCCCATGAAAGAAAGAATGAGATTCTGATTAGAGCGACATTCAGCTTTGTCCAATTATCCATAATTTTAATTCTATGAGAATGAGAATATGCATCAAAAGAATGGCTACTAGCTTAGAAATTCCTTTCAGAAGGGAAACTATCATTTACCTTTGTGTTTCACACTACAGAGCATACCCTGGACATGTACTATTGGCTTGTTCAAAATGAGTGAATGAGTAATGATCCCCTGGCAGGTCCACGGGAAATACACACCTAAGGTAACAGACTCACTCAGCAAATAGTGACCAAGTGCCTGCGAAATGCTATGCGCCACAGGGAGGCGCCTTACCTGTTGCAACTGGTTCTGTGCAATCACTGACCAAGTGTAAGGGCCTGTCCAGGCTCGAGGCAGCCTCCAGAGTAAAGGGAATTACGCACAAAGGGCCCCCAGGGACCTGCCTTCTACTCAACACCAGTTACAAAGTTAAGAAAAGGGAGAATTGCTTTCAAACTCATAATAAACCTTTCATAAAAGTGAAGCAAACTGAATTGTTTTGACATATAAAGAAAATATTGGCCGGGCGCAGTGGCTCACACCTGTAATCCCAGCACTTTGGACAGAGAACATCCCCGCCAAGCCGTGGACCACCCCGTCTGCTACTAAATACTACAAAATTAAGCTGGGCAGTCCGGTGGCCCCCATGCCTGTAGTCCCCAACCACTCGGAGGCTGAGGCAGGAGAATCAGCTTGAATCCGGGCAGGCGGAGGTTGCCAGTGAGCAAGATTGATGCCACTGCGGCAACAGAGCAAGACTCTGTCAAAAAGAAAGAAAGAAAGACAGAAACACAGAAAGACAGAAAGACAGACAGACAGACAGACAGAAAGAAAGAAAGAAAGAAAGAAAGAAAAAAGAAAAGAAAAGAAATATTAGCTAAAAGACTAAAGCAAGCAGCATCAGTTAGTAGATCCTAAGAGACAGAAGTGCATTTGTATGCATGTGTTTTTAAAGCAGGCCTGAAGAATCTCTGTGTACTTAATTCAATGTTTCTTCTGCTGTCCCCTACTATCAAAAAAGATTGTTTTCCATGTCTATTGCCATAATTCAAATAAAGTTTGTTTTAAAAATTGCATTTAAAAAATAATTCACATTTAGAATATAACTTGTTCCTTATTTATCTTAAAATAAGTATCTAGAAGTTTCTCCTTGGAAGATGATGCTGGTTCTTAAGAGTAATTTCTTTAAAAAAAAAAAAAAAAACAGATGGAGTATCGCTATATTGACCATGCTGGTCTCAAACTCTTGGCCTCAAGCAATCCTCCCATCTCAGCCTCGCAAAGTGCTGGGATTACAGGCGTGAGCCACTGTGCCTGGCCCTCGTAGACAATAATTTCTAATTTGGAGGCTCCACAGTGAATTCAATTGCAGTCATTATATTGCACATCCTTCGACAGATGGGTGAACCCTAGGCATGAAAGTTTGGATTCAAGTTTTAAATCCTGATGCTACACTGAAATTCTCAGTTCAGAACCCACCATCCACGGCTGGCACAATGTATCTACCAGCAGCCTTATTCATAATCAAGCAGCTCAGAAGGAGAATGGAGAAAGAAACTCTTGACATTAATACTACAGAACAAAAAGGAACAAACTACTGATACAAGCAACTGATCCATGCAACAATGTAGCATAACGTTTCTGATGAGTCTCAGAAACCTTATGCTAAGCGGAAGGAGCCAGAACTCAAAAGAGTATCATGCCATTTATAAGAAATTCTAGAACTGGCAAAACTAATCTAAGGTGAAAAAAAATCAAAACAGTGGTTACCTGGGGGAAGGGGTAGTGAGGACTGACTAGAAGAGGAATATAGGGCTACTTTCTGGTAGGATGAAAAAAAATTTTTTTTTTTTTTTGAGACAGAGTCTCTGTCGCCCAGGCTGGAGTGCAGTGGTGCGATCTTGGTTCACTGCAACCTCCGCTCCTGGGTTCACGCCATTCTCCTGCCTTAGCCTCCCGAGTAGCTGGGACTACAGGCGCCCGCCACCACGCCTGGCTAGTTTTTGTATTTTTAGTGGAGATGGGGTTTCACCGTGTTAAGCCAGGATGGTCTCGATCTCCTGACCTCCTGATCCGCCCGGCTCGGCCTCCCAAAGTGCTGGGATCACAGGCATGAGCCACCGTGCGCAGCAGGATGAAAATATTCTATATCTTGATAGTGGTTTGAGCTACCTGAATGTAGTAGCAGTCATCAAAATTCAACAAACAGTACACTTAAGATTTGCATAACCTACCATATGTAAATTTCATCTCCCCCAAATTGGAAACAAACACTAAATTCTAGTTAATGATATGCATGCTAAAGTGTTTAGGGATGAAGGGTATTGATATCACTTAATTTGAAAGGCATGGAAAAATAAGGTGGACTAATAGATATATGATAAACCAAATTAACAAAATGTTTAAACTGTAAAATCTGGATGGTGGGTTTATGAGTGCTCATAGTATAATTCTTTCAACTTCTCTATATGTTTGAAATGTTTCATAATAAGATGTCACAAAAAAAGAAAGAAAATCTTATCTGCTAGAAAACAGACCCAAGGAAATCAGTAAGTAGTTATATAGCATCAAATTTTGTTAAGCTCCTTAAAAAAAATAAATAATAATTAAGATAAAGTACTTAGATGTCAGACAAAGTGACTCCACTACTCACTAGCTAACTGCTTGACTGCTCTTCCCCACTTCCTCGTCTATAAAATGGGTATTTTACCACCTACCTCAAAAATCCTGTAGAATGAATGAAGTCATTTACATAAGGAATGAGAACTGTATCTGGCACTTGGTAAACATTCAGTAAGTGACAGCTGATTTCATACTAATTTTTGTACCACCTCTGTGAATACAGGTGGAAACGACAAGTCCACTGACTAAAACGTGACAGCCTCTAACTTAATGTATAAGTCTTGCCCAAACTGAACCCTGTTCTGTAAGATCAAAAGACTCATTCAGGGTTTTTTCTATTTCGCAACTCCTCTGACAGTTACCCAGCACTATTCTTTTGGTCTTTGAAAAGCACATATGGCTTCCCTGCCGACCCTGAGCACGGAGAGGAGTGCTCGCTGTCCTCTGTCCACTTTTGAAGTCCTGTGGCCAGAGAAGTCTTTGTCAAAGTCATGATCCTCCCACGGTCTAGGTCACATCTTCCCACATTTTCAAAAGCTTTAGAAATTTTTAGGTGCAACATGAAGGTAATGAAATCCATGTGGCTAAACTGATAGCAGAAAACATGCAAAGAATCTATCAGTGAACCTCAAGGCTGTGCCTAACGGGTCTATAAAGCAGCTGCTGCTCTGAGAAGCCCACTCCTCAGAGCCCACGAGAGTGTCCAGCCTGGAGTACACCAGCCTCATCAGGGGATTAGGGCAGCTTCTTTATAGACGAAGACATGAGCCTTCTGGGTCATGATGCTTAGAAACCCCTAGTAAAAGTGTTGCACAGACGCCAGTTCTGCTTGTAAGGCTTCTACACTGAACTCTTATACTTTGGCGGGGGGGCGGGGAACATTAAACACATTTCTCTATTGGATGATCTATGCTCAAACGCTACCTGAATGTAGTAGCAGTCATCAAAATTCAACAAACAGTACACTTAAGATTTGAATAACCTACCATATGTAAATTTCATCTCCCCCAAATTGGAAACAAACACTAAATTCTAGTTAATGATATGCATGCTAAAGTGTTTAGGGATGAAGGGTATTGATATCACTTAATTTGAAAGGCATGGAAAAATAAGGTGGACTAATAGATATATGATAAACCAAATTAACAAAATGTTTAAACTGTAAAATCTGGATGGTGGGTTTATGAGTGCTCATAGTATAATTCTTTCAACTTCTCTATATGTTTGAAATGTTTCATAATAAGATGTCACAAAAAAAGAAAGAAAATCTTATCTGCTAGAAAACAGACCCAAGGAAATCAGTAAGTAGTTATATAGCATCAAATTTTGTTAAGCTCCTTAAAAAAAATAAATAATAATTAAGATAAAGTACTTAGATGTCAGACAAAGTGACTCCACTACTCACTAGCTAACTGCTTGACTGCTCTTCCCCACTTCCTCGTCTATAAAATGCGTATTTTACCACCTACCTCAAAAATCCTGTAGAATGAATGGAGTCATTTACATAAGGAATGAGAACTGTATCTGGCACTTGGTAAACATTCAGTAAGTGACAGCTGATTTCATACTAATTTTTGTACCACCTCTGTGAATACAGGTGGAAACGACAAGTCCACTGACTAAAACGTGACAGCCTCTAACTTAATGTATAAGTCTTGCCCAAACTGAACCCTGTTCTGTAAGATCAAAAGACTCATTCAGGGTTTTTTCTATTTCGCAACTCCTCTGACAGTTACCCAGCACTATTCTTTTGGTCTTTGAAAAGCACATATGGCTTCCCTGCCGACCCTGAGCACGGAGAGGAGTGCTCGCTGTCCTCTGTCCACTTTTGAAGTCCTGTGGCCAGAGGAGTTCTTTGTCAAAGTCATGATCCTACCACGGTCTAGGTCACATCTTCCCACATTTTCAAAAGCTTTAGAAATTTTTAGGTGCAACATGAAGGTAATGAAATCCATGTGGCTAAACTGATAGCAGAAAACATGCAAAGAATCTATCAGTGAACCTCAAGGCTGTGCCTAATGGGTCTATAAAGCAGCTGCTGCTCTGAGAAGCCCACTCCTCAGAGCCCATGAGAGTGTCCAGCCTGGAGTACACCAGCCTCATCAGGAGATTAGGGCAGCTTCTTTATAGACGAAGACATGAGCCTTCTGGGTCATGATGTTTAGAAACCCCTAGTAAAAGTGTTGCACAGACGCCAGTTCTGCTTGTAAGGCTTCTACACTGAACTCTTATACTTTGGCGGGGGGGCGGGGAACATTAAACACATTTCTCTATTGGATGATCTATGCTCAAACCATAAAAATATCCTGGTCCATAAAAATGAGTCTGCAGTTAGGTCAAAACTTTCCACTCACCACAAATGCTCAAAATGTTTAGTAAAAGAAGACTTTCCATCCACCGTAAATGCTTCATTCCCCTTTCTAGCAGTTATAAATTACTCCAAAATTATCAATTTTCTGTCGGAACACGTCAGACCGACTCAGATAAAAGACAGTCGGAACAGGGAAAAAAATCAGTGGCACAAGAGGGGAAAAAGGGAGTGGAAAAGAGAAAAGGTATAGGCGAAAAATGAACTCGAGAATTAACTGAAAACTTAGACTGTGTGGTCCATCCAAAAGTGAACAGGAGAGACACAGAACTTGAATGCCATCTTGAGGGTACAGGCTGGGAAGGGAGGAATGGCTACACATCAAGACCAAAAGTCAAAAATAAAAAAAACACAGGTCATATACTCATGTTAGAGTGACTGCTAAAGGACCCCATGGCTGGCCAATGAGATTAGAAACAATGGCTGACACTGTATACCAGCACAAGGGTTCAGGGAAGGCATGCGTTTGCCTAAGCCATCGGAAGGTAGAAACCTAATGAGGAGATTTGCTAAGTGTACACCCCATGAAAACTGTACACTTGGTTTAGGGTCCAGACGCAAAGGCTGCCGTGGGACAGGGCACACCGCTGAGCACAGAAGAGTCTTTGGCACACGCATGCGGGGAGTGTTCAAAAAGAAAAGGGGACACACTTTTGGGAAACTGAGAAACTTGTACATCCTTCACTGATTTTTCCCTAGATTTTTGGCCAACACATAACTTTAGCAAACATAAAACGTGTATGTTTTGAAGCTATTAATGGTTCATTACGAATGGACTCACACGGAGTCCAAAAGACAAAGGAAACGGTCTGCGGTACCACATAACATAGGGACTCCCAAACGGGAAGATCTTCCAAGGGAGAGATCTGCAGAGAGCCTCAGCTTCTACCTTGAGACCCCACAAAGAGAAAAGTTAAATAATGCTGTAGACAGTGGAGGAGGGGAGGGAGACTCTGTATTTCCATCATGCAAAATGGAATTAATCCAAGTTCTAACCTGAAGAGCACATAAGTCAGGCTTGCCAACATTGTATCTGATTTGTGACCTAGCATTTGTATCACAAAGGACGTTCAGGTACTTTTTGTAATTCCAAAGGCAGCCATGCAATGTCTGTCCAGGTTTACAGGGAAGAAAGGCGAGGTGACAGACCAGCTCCCTGCAAGCCAAGCAGCTCATCTTGGTGGCATCCACTCTTACACTCAATTCTTGCTGCTCTAAGCCAGTCCTCTTATTAGAGCAGCTGTTCCAACTCCGCTATGGTGCAGACAGAAACTTTTCCTATCTTCTCAAGCATGCATAATCTAACACCCCCAAATCTCCCCTCTATGTGCAACAAAGGAAAATAAAACAGAGAGAGAAAAAGAGGTATCAGAGTTTCAGAAAATCCTCAAAACATTGTCTATAAAGAGACTTGGCAATAATTACAAGAGACAAAAATGCCATACCTGCTTCATCTCCCCAATATGGATGTGTTCTTTCTGTTTCTCTTCATATAAACATCTCAGAAAAGAAATAATCAATTCATTCTCTCGCTGTTCATTTCTTGGTCTCAATTTCTTGAAAACAAAAATCAGAAACAGGATTTTTAATGGTCAATAACACTGCTAAGCCGTCTCTTTTTAAACGCTAACAGCTTCCATTCACTAAACTAGTGCTTTTACTCAGTCACCTCACTAGGGGGCACCAATGATCCTAAAAGTAGAGGTAATTTTAAAAAAGGAACAGTGGAGCCAGAGGGTCAGATTCAGCTTGTGATCTCTGCTGTCCAATTACCTAAAATGAATCCTTAATATCAGATAGAGACAGAGTCAAAATGTTTAACAAATAAATAGTTTTTAAAACTCGAGGAAAAACACAAAATCCATGTAAATACCCAGAGGTCAGGGACCATAATGACCAAATATTGACAAACCCTTAGGGAATGGGCAAGGAAAACAGCAACGGGATTCAATGTCATAATTTCCCTATGTTGAATGTGTTCACCGTGAAGCACTCTGTGGAATCCCCATGGGGCACGTCCTTCCACACAAGATTTCATGGCGTGTACTACATTTCTTTCTTCTTTCTTTAAAAAAAATTCTCTCTATACCTTTTAACTTTTTAGACAGGGTCGTGGCACCGCACACTGGACCAAAGTCAGGATATGTAGGTTCTGGCTGCTGCCTAGAAGTGTGACCAAAGCCAAGCCCCTTAATCCTAGCTTCCCTGTCTGCTGAAGTGAGGATGGTGCGCAGAGGAAACTCCACGGTCTCCTCCTGCCCCCAAATGCCTTGGATTTGAAATGCCAGAGTGCATTTTTTAAAAGTCCACCTAATTTAATGTATTATTTTATCTGTATATAAACAAAGTAAAATGAATTGCTTTGGGATACACAGTTTTTAGTCTATAAATTTTGAAAATACATCTTTTTTTATATTGACAAATATCCATTGCCCGTTCCTCCTCTCTCCCTACTTCAAACTTCCAGCCTGTTCTTTAAAACAAATTCAGTGACATAAATGGATCGACTACACAAGGATCTGAGTCTGGGTCAACACCACTCTTGGTCACTTCTTCCCCAGCTAACTAAGAAAGCGACTTTACCCTGCACGTCTAACCCAGACTTTCTGACAGTCCTTTCTTAAAGAAACCCAGTCCTTTCTTAATGAACAAGATAAAAGGTAAGTTGTTCTTGTCACGTAAGGAAAAGATAGTTAATGATTAGAAGGGTTTGTTTCCATCGAGGACTTCCTGTTCTTTCAGATTTTGGACTGAGATATTAAATATTTTAGAGGCTAAAGCAGACACTCTCAACCTGGACTCCAGGCCATGAACCTCAATATTATAAAATTTTACAAGTTACATGCAACAAGTGGATTTCTCTAGAGAAAGTGAGCATTAGATTCTCAAAAAGGAAAGTGGCAATAATACCACAATCCCAACTTAACACTGCTAGATCAAAGAGTTATGGATACACTAAGTCCAAATGTCCACAAAACAACAAGAACTCCCATTTATGGTTGGTGGGGATGCAAAACAGTATAGCCGCTTTGGAAAACAGGCCGGCAGTTTCTTGTAAAACTAAACACATTCTGACCACATGACCCAGCAACTGCACTCCTTGGTGTTTACCCAAATGAGCTGAAAACTTATATTCACACAAAAACCGACGATCTCATGTTTACAGCATCTTTATTCACAATTATCAAAACTTGGAAGCAACTAAGATGGGCATCAATTGGCAAATGTAAACAAACTGTAGTGCATCCATAAAACGCAATATTATTCAGCAATGAGAAATGAGCTATCAAGCCATAAAGAGACATGGAAAAACCTTAAGTGCATATTGCTAAGCAAAAATAGCCAGTCTGAAAAGGCTACTGTGTGATTCCAACCACATGACATGCTGGAAAAGGCAAAACTATGGAGAAAGCAAAATGATCAAGGATTAGGGAGGAGGTGGGAGAACAGGCAGAGCATGGGGATTTTTAGGGCAGTGAAACTATTCTGTATGATACCATAATGATGGGCACATGACATTAAGCATCTGTCACAACCCACAGAATATAGAACACCAACAGTGAACCCAAATGTAAGCCATGAACTTTAGTTAATATTAATGTACAAATATTGGCTCATCAATTATAATGAATGAACCCTCGGTAATGCAAGATATGTTAAAAATCGGAGAAACTGTGGGGTGGGGGACAGTGAAAGCTAATATGGAAACTCTGTACTTTTCACCCAATTTTCCTATAAACCTAAAACTACTCTAAAAAAATATTAAGTCTATTAAAAAAAAAAAGGTCCAGGGAAGCGAACAGGAATTACGAGAGGCCTCTGAGCAGGTACAGGCGCCTGATGGTTGGCCCACTCTTTCTTCTCCTGTGTCTTTAATTAAACCTTCCAGCTACCCCCACAAGAAAATGTATATTGTGCTTGGAGAAATTCTTCATCATCATCTATTTCAAAATATTTTAAAAAGCTAATCATATAGTAGAGGAGGAGTATTAATGTATTTTTCCCCTCAAAATACACTTTAAAAAACTATTCAAATAGGAAGGAAATTAGACCACAACTAGCAACAGTATACTACCACAGTTGTTTTTCATTAAAAACTGATTAAGAACCAGAGCCCGCATCATGGAACTTGTTAAACATCATAGAGAAGTCACTAAAGCAGAGAAATAAACGTTTATGGTGTTATACACGATCAAGAAACAAATCTTTCCTTAACGTAATTCTGAAATACAATTAGTGAGTTGTCATCTCCCTAAAATCTCCCATGCAACTTCACCATCCTCGATAGTGGCAAATCATTATTATTATTATTATTTTTTGAGACAGAGTCTCGCTCTGTCACCTAGGCTGAATGAAGTGCAGTGGCGCAATCTCGGCTCACTGCAAGCTCCACCTCCCGGGTTCACGCCATCTTCCTGCCTCAGCTTCCCGAGTAGCTGGGACAACAGGCGCCCGCCACCACCCCCCGTCTAATTTTTTGTATTTTTAGTAGAGATGGGGTTTCACCGTGTTAGCCAGGATGGTCTCGATCTCCTGACCTCATGATCCACCCACCTCGGCCTCCCAAAGTGCTGGGATTACAGGCATGAGCCAACGCGCCCGGCCAAATCATTATTTCTTAAAGGTGATTTAACTTTATGAACATTCATCAGTCAGAGAGACAAGTCTTAAGAAAATAATGGGGAATCAAATTGGGTAACATCACTTTGCCATCAAAAATTACCTGCTTGTTCAAAATTAAACTATGGTGTCAGAAGTCAGGATGATGGTTACCTTGAGGCAGACACAAAATAGGACTATGAGGCAATGGAAATGCCCCATTTCTTTCTTTTTTGGGGGAGACAGAGTCTCACTCTTTCCCCCAGACTGGAGTGCAGTGGCACAATCTTGGCTCACTGCAACCTCCGCCTCCCAAGTTCAAGCGATTCTCATGCCTTAGCCTCCCGAGTAACTGAGACTACAGGCACGCACCACCATGCCTAGCTAATTTTTGTATTTGCAGTAGAGAGAGGGTTTCGTCATGTTGGCCGGGCTGGTCTTGGACTCCTGACCTCGAGTGATCCACCCACCTTGGCCTCCCAAAGTGCTGGGATTACAGGCGTGAGCCACCGCGCCTGGCCGGAAATGCTCCATTTCTTAATCTTGACACTGGCTGCACAGTTGTATTTACTTTATAAAAATTCACTGAATTACACATCTTTGATTTGTGTGCTTTTCTATCTGTATGTTATACTTCAATTTATAAAAGAATATTACAAAAACAATTGCCTGTTAAAAGTAACAAAACTAAGTTAGTTACATGTTTCTTAACCTATAAGAGGCTTATAAATTATCATAAAGGAAATTCAGAAATAAACTGCCAGCTGGGCAAGGGGGCATGTACCTGCAGTCCCAGCTACTGAGGAAACGGAGGTAGGAGGATTGCTTGAGCCCAGGAGCTCGCAACTGAAATGTGTTCTGATCACACCCTAGAATAACCACTGCACTCCAGCCTGTGTAACATAGTGAGCCCCTTTCTCTTACAAAAAAATTAATAAATCAATCAATACATTTCCAACACTGATTAATGCATCCCAGAATGTTGAGAAAGCCCATGGTCTCCTAAGGGAACTACTTAAAAAGACAATAATCACGTGGACACTGCAGTCTACCATCTTTCAAACAATTATAATCCCATTTTGTAAGAAATCATTTTAAAACCATGGAAAATCCAACTAACCTGATATATATTCTTCAGAAAGTAAAAAGAGTCTCTTCTGACCATTAACCTTTAACTTGTGAAGTCATGTCACTTAATGACTTATCAATGTCTATCGCGTACAAATCTACTTGATTTATCTAGTCAGTATTTAATTAAGTCATTCCCTCAAACACACTCATATAGATTAGGAGAATTAGACTTTGAGATATTTTATTTACTAGCCCCACGTTGGCTTCACAGCAATTCTTATCCTGAGATGATCAATTTGGATTCAGTATATCCACCCAGTAACAGAGCATCAGGGGGTCATCCTCACCTATGCCTAGCTAGATATGTTTGAAAATGAAACATTTCAGAAAGCTCATAAATCAAAAGACAGCTTTGCAGTGTGGTTTGCCCACATGACTGTCTGGCACCAAGTTCTCAGAGTGCTCAAAATCAGCTTGTTTACAGCAGAGATAACCTCCAGCATCGTTTACACAGTTATCAGTGATTTCTTTATAGCTGTTAGAGTTCCATTTTTTTAATTAAATATTCATTTACATGATCCTTGAATATGGTATGTTTTAATAACTAAGTAATCGTGTACCATTAATTTCAATGGTAATTATATTTCCGTTATGAAAATTTGCACGTGGAGCACTTTTTCAGAAACAAATTCCCCTGCAGGAAAGACTGAACAAAGGAATATATTTACCATTCTATTTATAAGACGACTCCGGAAACTGCAAAGTCACCTTTTTCCTTACAATCTTTTTAAAATGTATTATTTTCAAGCACATCAGCCAGCATTGCTGTCTAAAACGAAACCAATGACTTGGTTTATAAAATGTTTTACAAAACCAAGAATGGTCATTGAGGACATAATTCAACAAGACCATCTAACAAGCCTCTAGAACAAAAGATTCATAGGCAAATCTATATCACTCAAGGAACAGTCACACTCACGGTGATGGAAGACAAGGCGAGAGCTGGCTTTTCAAAGTTGGTGAACAATACAACTTCCCTTTGGTGTCTGATGCAACTAAACAATTACAGAGACCTCTAGAACAACACATAGGGGCCTCAGGATATTAACTGAATGCTCTTTTTTTAAAGCAAACCTTAGTCATAACCTACTCTGTTCTGAAGTGTCTTTGCCATGATGTACTCAGTGCCTAAAAGCCTGCATGAGTCACAGAGAATCTTGGAATCATGCCCATTAGGAACATCTCATTGCTGCGGAAGAATATTTTGTGTATTACCTATACTGATTCATCACACTGTTTTAGGGAGAGCTACGTGGTGCTGTCTAGACAAAAAAGAAAACCCACATTATGAAAGGGAAGTTCCTCTTCTATGCTTGCCAGAAAGATGGTTTCGTGGCCAGGCGCGGTGGCTCACACCTGTAATCCCAGCACTTTGGGAGGCTGAGGCGGGCAGATCACGAGGTCAGGAGATGGAGACCATCCTGGCTAACATGGTGAAACCCCACCTCCTAAACCCAGGAGGCGGAGCTTGCAGTGAGCCGAGATTATGCGACTGCACTCTGGCCTGGGCCACAGAGCAAGATTCAGTCTCCAAAAAAAAAAAAAAAAAGAAAAGAAAGATGGTTTATTAAAGTGACTGGACAGCTCTAGAACAGTAAGCGAGCCAGCATTAGATGAAAAAGGCCCCAGCTTGAATTGTAAATGCATTAACAATCAGAAGCGTATTGTCCATTTTTGAATTCCAAATGCAAATCACATTATATTTGTCTAAGAGTATTGTGTACTTAGAACTCTAAAGATCTTTTAAGAAAAAACAAAGTAGCATGTCTCAAGTTGATTCAAAAGAAAACAAGAAAATGTAAAGACAAGTGAAAATTGTGAAAATTACCCTCTAGGCTATTTGAGACATGAAAAAACATCTTTCTATGCTCTCTTCCTACAGCATATGCCAATTCTACTGTAGAAGGAGAACAAGGGAATAAGACAAGACCTCTAACATGTGATTAAAATGAGAAAGACGGCCAGGCGTGGTGGCTCACACCTGTAATCCCAGCACTTTGGGAGACTGAGGAGGGCGGATCACAAGGTCAAGAGTTAAAGACCAGCCTGGCCAATATGGTGAAACCCCGTCTCTACTAAAAATATAAAAATTAGCAGAGTGTGGTGGTAGTAGGTGCCTGAAATCTCAGCTACTCGAAAAGCTGAGGCAGGAGAATTGCTTGAATCTGGGAAGCGGAGGTTGCAGTGAGCCAAGATTGCACCATTGCACTCTGGCTCTGGGTGACAGAGTGAGACTCTGCCTCAAAAAAAAAAAGAGAGAGAGAGAGAGAGACAATCCTTTCATTTTTTTACACTAACAGAAAGCAGATCGTGGATCCTAGTATAGTATTTTCCTAGTAAGGAGGGAAAAGCACTTAAACCCACCCAGTTGCTAGCTGTCTTGTTTAATGGCTCCTCTATTTACAGAATCTGCTGCCTGCCCCGCAAAAGGAGATATTTATTCTTTGTTTTGATATGCTTCCCTCCCTAAAAAAGTGCCAGGGAGCCATCAAAAATGGCCCTCAGCTAAAGCAGACATGAAATTTTGGATGACCTCATTAAAGATTCATAATGAACAGGCTACAGGCATGCCGGCACACACAGCATGGTCTCCCCGAGATACATTGCATCTAAATGCAAGGGCAAGAGCTAGCTTCCAAGTTTACTGCAGAAAGCCGATGAGCTTGAATTTTGTTTTGTTTTTGTAGGTTTGATATATTATCGGGTTCCAAGTAGACAGCATGACCTAAATTTATTTTCAAAAACGAAAAGAAAAAATGGTGTGGGGGGAAAGAAGGAACAATTCTGTTCAAGCTCATGAACCAAATGTTGTCTCATTCGACTGCCACACTTAGGGCTGAAATCCTAAGCAGGAAGGGGCGGGCAGAGGTTTCCCAGGGAACAGATGAGTGCATGTGGACCAGAGGCCAGACCTTCTGTCTCCCAGACTAAGGCGCTTTCCATTTTATAATTTCCTCTCTCTTATGCTAACATTTGTTTAAGGAAGAAGCTTGCCTGTTTCAGTCAATTTTACTATCTAAGCTAAGGCCTGATGGGAATCTGCAATTCTGACCTGGACCCTCTATGGGACTGTGAAAGCTTAAGCCAAGCAGGTCCAACATGTGGCCCAGGACAGCTCTCAATATAGTCCAACACAAATTCATAAGCGCTTTTAAAACATTATGAGATGTTGGGCCTGGCGCGGTGGCTCACACCTATAATCCCAGTACTTCGGGAGGCCAAGGCGGGCGGATCACGAGGTCAGGAATTCAAGACCAGTCTGACCGACATGGTGAAAGCCTGTCTCAACTAAAAACACAAAAATTAGCTGGGCGTGGTGGCGCGCCTGTAGTCCCAGCTACTCAGGAAGCTGATGCAGGAGAATCACTTGAACCCGGGAGGCAGAGATCGCCGTGAGCCCGGATCGTGCCATGGCACTCCAGCCTGGGCAACAGAGCAAGACTCTGTTATACAAACAAATAAACAAATACCATTGATATTTTGTGTGTGTGTGTGATTTTTGTTTTTTTTTTAAGCTCATCAGCTATCGTTAGTGTCTTTTATATGTGGTCCAGGACAATCCTTCTTCTTCCAATGTGGCCCAGGGAAGCCAAAAGATTGGACACCCCAGAAACAAAGACGAACTCAAGGCACCTTACCCCAAGCTGGGACAACACTGGTTTGCTATTTTGTATACATAGCATCTCCCAGGTAAGCTGCCTGCCTTTTCTTTCCTTCTAGAAATTAGTAACTGTACTGTACCTGAACCTCTTCAAAAATAGTCGCCTGCTCCTGATTGGTTAATGTTGTCAGGTGCTTTTGCAGTTCTAGTTTTGTTTTGGAAGAATTCATTCCTATTAAGAGAAAAAAAAAGAGGCATGAAAAAACTCTATGCAAAAGTTGTGAGATAGGAAGTTAACCTCTTCCACACACATCCCCTTCACATTCTCTTCCACTTCAGACTTTCAAGGTTTTATGGAAAAAAAAAAAAATTATTATTATTTTTTTGACATGGAATCCCACTCTGTCACCCAGGCTGGATTGCAGTGGTGCAATCATGGCTCACTGAAGCCTCGACCTCCCAGGCTCAAGCAATCCTTCCACTTCAGCCTCCCCAGTACCCGGGACTACAGGTACATGCCACCATGCCCGGCTAATTTTTGTATTTTTAGTAGAGACGAGGTTTCGCCATGTTACCCAGGCTGGTCTCGAACTCCTGAGCTCAAGCAATACGCCCACCTCTGCCTCCTAAAGTGCTGGGATTACAGGCGTGAGTCACTATGCTTGGCGTGGAAATTTTCATCGAAAATAGTGTTGCTGTTATCTTTGTCATCATCTTCTAAACGAGCTCTGATGCACTGGACACTGAATAATAGGCATTAAGCTTGCACCATTTAATTCTCAAAACAATCTGATGAAGAGGATGCTATTACCCCCAGTTTACAGCTAAGAAAACTAAGACCCAGAGAGCTTATGTCATTTCCACAGACCACTTATTTGTACTCTACCTCAGGAATGTGTGGCTCCAAATTACTTTCTCTCTGTTAAAATACCTCACATAATCAGAAACTTCTCCTCAGAAAATGATAAATTCTTGTGTTGATACGTAAACCTGACAACTTTTTCTTAGGGAAAAACAACTCCTATTCTGTTGGAAAACTGACACACATTTCTCTTGCATGCCAGGTTCCCATCACAGAAAACTGATGCATGTGGCTCACAATTTTTCTTACACTACCACATGCTTATTAATAACTTAATGAACATTACATTTAATTAATGTTACAAAGGGTTTTGAGGAAAAGTTATAAAAATAAAGTCACTATATCATTTTAGTACCCATTAGAACCTGGTATTTCAAGAAGTTCCTTCCCCACACAAATACGGCTCACAGCCTGCACTGCCTTTTCTTGGTGTCCAGTGATAAACGTCACACATGATGAGAAGGTTGATAATGAAAGAATATGCTGACCCAACTGCCATGAAAAGAAAAAAACTGCACGGGTTATTTTTCTTCCAAGGGCAGCTCTCACCTCACCCACCTGGCACTGTCTTCTCATCCCACCAGGGTGGCCCTGAGGCAGAGTCCTGGCCAAGGCTCTGGGCTGGAGAACAGTGTGCGAGGCACCTACATCACTACGGATGGCCGGGAGGGAAATCTGCTGGGCCAGGGGCTTGTCTGTAAGGACTTGGAAACCATGCCTTCGTTTTGCAGATGGTTTTGCTGATGCCCAGAGAAGCCAGGTGACTTGTAAAAGGCCAGGATGCCCATCGGCAGCCAAGTCTGCCCAAAGCCATGGCTCCTCCCCTCCCACGGCAGCTGAGGCAGATCCCACAACCTCTCAGTAGAGTGCGACTGTGGCAGAGGCGGCTGCCCTATCACACTGTTCCAGCCATCTCTGCTTCCAGAAAGACATTCTTTTTCCCTTTTGTTAACCCAAGAAAACCCTGAGGCCACCGTAGAAATAATATTTAAGTGACTGCCAAGCCATTTCACTTAACACTTTATGTGCATTATTTCATTTCACCCTAAAATGAATACTAGAAATGGGCCTTTTTTTTTTTAAGTAATCCCAGTGCCCACTGAAGAAACTGAGGCACATCGAAGTCAAGTATTTTGTCCAAGGTCATCAGCTAAGTAAGTTGCCTCCAGCAACCAAACCCTTAACTGCTCCACTGCCCTCCCTGACTAGCAGAGCCAAGTCGCCTGACACTCAGGTGACTGCAATACAAGAGTGAGCTCAGAGGTGGGTTAAAGTGCAGGAAGGACGGCGCCTTCGTCAAAGTGCAATGCAGTCACTCTTTCAGCAAGCTGTCAGGTCACATGAAGCCAGGGAAACAGACAAGGCTTTACTGTATCAACTACTTAAATGCTGACGCGAAACAGAGTTAAGATTTATGAATCAAATAAGCACGAAGTCATCATGCACTAAAAATCTCCCCCACATATGGAGGACATCTCTGACAGTCAAAGTATCATATTTTGGAAAAACGATATTGTTTCATGAAACATTCGGATGTGGGGAATAGACGAATAAATGCCAAGGCCTAAGAAGACTTAGACTAACTAGACACTCTGCCAATCTCAGGTGAAATCACGAAATGCAGCCTAGTCGTCGCTTCGGCAGCTGTGAAGCAATTCTCTGAGCAGTTTCACCCTGTCTGCAGGATGCCTAACTCATGAGGTCCTTCCGGCCCCATCTCTAAACAGCCAGCCCGCGTAGGTGCGAGCTCCTCCCCCAGGGATTCTCACACAGCTAGTGCCTCCTGGGTGGTTTCTGTACAGCCACTGAAAGCACCCTTCAGTTCTACACTGAACACGTCTCCTCAGAGAGGCCCAGGTGATGCCAAAATGGCTTATGGAGGGGAATGGGAAGCAAGGACTGAAGCAGAAAAAGGTAACCAGCGTCAAGGGAGTTTCCAAATTACAAGCCCTCCCCGCTCCTCTGGTCAGTGAGGCCGCCTCCCTGCCGGTGCAGAAACGGCCCTTGTTAGAGGGAGCGGTGATGAATGACTGTGTTTTACTGAAGGAAAATTTGCTCTGAGAGCAAAAGAAAATCTTAGTTCAACTAATTTTTTTAATGAAAGCATAACTCAGTCTAGTAATTCCCAAAATGCTCCTCTTTTAAAATAAGCAAAATACTATATAAATACCACTGAGTTGTATATGGGTCAAACATAGAACTGGGTAGAGCTGCACTTCTGATGTGTTGCATGTTAGAGCACAGTGCAGCGTAATCAACATGAACAGCGTTACTGATTCTATTCTGGAGATTCTGGGGGAGATGACTTGACTACACTTACTAAGAAAACACACTCTTTAAGTCTTTGTGTGGCCACATCACTAGTCCTCTCCACAGTTTTACAGAGTTATTGATCACACCATATAACTTCCTGCTAGAACTAGTCTTACACCAATATACAATGAGTTTTAATAAGCCACTTCATTCTACTTATTAGGACTACAACAACAAAAAGCAAGGGACCGTAAAACTGTTTATGTAATAACTAGCACTTCTTCTAATAATGTGCCCTCTACACTTCTAGAAATGAGTTCCATCATGTAGGTAAAACATACCCCCACCAGACTTCTAACTGTACTATTTAAGAATGTTCTGGCGTTAGTAGAGTTTTGTGCCTTGGTTGGATTTTATCAGGTGAAAGATGGATCAAATGATTAATTCCAAAACAACGGCAGCAAAATCTACCCTGATCAAACTTTTGAGCTGTAACTTTCTGAAAGCTAACCAGACCAAAGAAAGATTTATCAAGGGGAGCGCGGGAAGCATTCCAGTTCCTGCAGATCGTGATCTGCTTTATCTTCAAGGCCAAAGTCATTGCTGGCTTTTCAATAAGCTCTTAAGGGGCATTTCTGTCATCGTTTACCTTATCTTGACAACCACTAAGGAAAGAGTTAGTGATCCTCTTGGTTGGGAACTCTCATTAAAGCAAACGTTTTCTTGTTCCCAGATATATTTTGTGTAATGTCAGCAAATAGTAACAACGTGGAAAACACAGTTGAATATATTAATCATCTTTCTTCATTTTAAAGAGCACTGTAATGCCACAAATGACCCTTCCCAGACCTTAAGATGTCAACTGTTAATTTATCTTATTTAAAAAGGGAAACCAGATACCACTTCACATCTATCTGGACGGCTTTCATCAAAAACAAAACAAAACAAAAACAGAAAGTAGCACATTGTGGCGAGGACGTAAAAGAACTGGGGTCCTTACCCATTGCCAATGGGATTGTAAAATGGTGTGGCCACTGAGAAACAATACGGAAGTTCCTCAAAAAAATTAAACATAAAATTACCACATACCCTAGCGGTTTCATTTCTGGATATACATCCAAAAGAATTGAAAGCAGGAACTTCAACAGGTATTTGCACATCAGCATTCACAGCAGCATTATTCATACGATAGTCAAAAGATGGAAGGACCCCAAACGTCCATGGACGAGTAAATGGATCAACAAAACGTGCTACACGCTTTTGGAATGGAATACTATTCAGCCTTAAAAAGGCATGAAACTCAGACAACGCTACGGTTCACATGAATCTGGAAAACATTACGCTAAGTGAAATAAACCAGAAACAAGAAGATAAATATTTTATGACTTTGCTTATATGAAGTTACCTAGAAACAGAACGGATGTTGCCAGAGGTTGAGAAGGAGCAGAGCTGGCATTTAACGAGTTTCAGTTCTGGAAGATGAAAAAGTTCTGGAGATGCTGGTGGTGAGGACTGCATAACAATGTGAATGGACTTAATGCCACTGAAGGGTATGCTTACAAAAAGGTTACAATGGTAAATTTTGTGTTACATATATTTTTACTGTAATTTTTTTAAAAAGGAAAATTGGACCTAAAAAGCAATGTTGTCTTTACAAAATTATAGCTTATAATAAACATTCCTTTTTTTTTTTTTTTTGAGACATCTCGCTCTGTCACCTAGGCTGGGAGTGCCGTGGCACAATCTTGGCTCACTGCAACCTCCGTCTCCCGGCCTCAAACGATTCTCCTGCCTCAGCCTCCCAAGTAGCTGGAATCACAGGCACACTGGCCACCACGCCCAGCTAATTTCTGTATTTTCAGTAGAGACGGGGTTTCACCATGTTGCCCAGGCTGGTCTTGAACTCCTGACCTCAGGTGATCCACCTGCCTCGGCCTCCCAAAGTGCAGGGATTACAGGTGTATAATAAACATTCTCCAAACATGAGAAATGATCAAATTTTTGTTTTCTTTTCACAATAACATGGGTTGTTTAAATCATGTGACCTCCACAAGTCACAAAAAAAATTTTTGAAATCCTCCCATAAACAGAACAAAAACACAAAACCTAGAACAGAGAGGTGAAAACTCCTTCACCTTCCAGACGCCCTCAGATAAACATATTACCACTCCTTTTCACTGTCACCTGGTTCTGTCCTCTCCCCTGGCCCCTCCCTGCAGTCCCAGAGACAGAGACTCTCACTTCCTGCCTCAGGTGGACTCCCCACTCTTATTCAAAAGGAACCCCCTCCGTTCCATTCAGATTCATTTGGCCCCTCCCGCCCCTTGGGCTCTGAATTCACTCAAACCTCTCCAGTTCTGAAAAAGACAAAGTTAGCTGCAATCCCCAGGTCTTCCCCCAGTATGGCCTTCTCCTGGAAATGCTTGGTGGCAGGTAACAGGGCTTTACCACCTGGGGTGAATCATGGGCTCACAATACACTAGTTTATTCCTAGACATCCCTAATCCTCAATTTACTTATCTGCAATATGTGCAAAATAAATAGTCCCTTTTCTTCCCACAAATGTGGTGAGGATTAAATAGATAACAGAAAGCACCTAATATATTTCCTGGCAGATCTTATTCAATACACATTAGCTACAAATCATAACATTTATTACAGTTTCTCCCTAAGCCAGGTTTCTAGAAGTACTATTCAATACTAATAGTCATGTTTCTTTTATTTCTTCCCATTTGCTCCTCAACTGCAACCTGTTTTGTGCTACCTCGTCTCCATTCAAACTGTACTAGCAGCGGTTACTAATGACCTTGTAATGGAGAAACCGGTACAAGTTCCTTAGTTTTTATCTTTCTAGGTATCTCTGCAGTGGCCAGTATGACTAACCACTCACATAATCTTGATAAACACTAGGCAACTGGTTTGGTAACCTGTTTCCCTAACTCCTCCTCCACCTTCAGAATACCCTGGAGGGAGGTGGCAGAAGGGGGTTCTGGGTTCTTATCTTTGTGTCACCAGCATCCGGCACAATTCCTGACACACAAAAGACGCCCACTGCACGCTGAGAGTCCACCTACAATCACTGTGACTAACACAAGCCTCTGTTAGGCAGAATCTTCCAACAGATGAGTATCACCTAAAGTTCTCCAGGGACCTTTAACTCCCACTGTGTTCACGCTGGAAAAGGTCCCCTACTCACCCTCTATCCTCTCGCAGAGCTTGTGCAGGCCCTGCAGGGGGCAGCCCTCGCACAGCTGGGCTGGCGCCTTAGCCGTCTGCTGCACTGCGGCCACTGTGAAAGCCTGTTTCAGGGTCATCATAATTTCGTCCACCTAATCAAAGAGAAGAGAAATTGTAGCCACCAAAAAGTCAACTTGAAATTAGCTGGGCTGAGATGTCAGATAATCTATGGAAAAGACTTTTTAAGCTTTTAAGAGTTTTCTGTACTACTCTTCACAGTTTGACAGATAATAATTGGAATAACGGCTAGGATTACAGTCTGAAAATACTACAAGGATGCTCAAAGCTCTCAAAGCAGATAAGGTAAATGATATGGTTTGGCTGTGTCCCCACCCAAATCTCATCTTGAATTTTGGCTCCCATAATTCCCACGTGTCATGGGAGGGACCCAGTGGGAGGTAATTGAATCATGGGGGTGAGTCTTTCCTGTGCTGTTCTCATGATAGTGAATAAATCTCACGAGATCTGACGGTTTTAAAAAGGGCAGTTCCACTGCACAGGCTCTCTTGCCTGCTGCCATGTAAGACGTGCCTTTGCTCCTCCTTCACCTTCCGCCATGATTGTGAGGCCTCCCCGGCCATGTGGAACTGTGTCCATTAAACCTCTTTCCTTTATAAATTACCCAGTATCGGGTATGTCTTTATTAGCAGTGTGAGAACAGACTGATACAGTAAAAACTAAAAATACAAACTACTGAGAAAAAAGGCAAACTCCTTTGATCAGACATCTAAAATGACACTGTAAAATGCTAGACCAGAGGGTGACACTGATCAAGTTCTTCTGAAACAAAAAATATAAAATGCACACCCAATTAAGCTTCAGATGTGTATTAGCTACTTACTAAATAGTCATAAGTAAATAACTAAAGACATATAATGATATGTCAATGACTATCTGGTTTTCCTAAGGACAGAAAAATCAGTGGAGCTAAAATTCCTTGTAAAGAAGGTTCCAAGGTAAGAATTGCTTGTCCTCTCTCACCAGAGCCTCATTTGTGCACTGAAACACGTAACAGACAAAATGAAAGCCGCCACCTCCAGAAGACTCCCGGCAGATAAATCCAAAGTGGTCCACATGTCTGATGCCCTGTCCAAGGGAGAGAATGAGATGTTCAGGTGTATCCAGAAGATGCACCATTATCAGAAATGCACCTCAAGATTTATATAGCACAATTTTATTTTATTTTACTTTTTATTATTTTTTTGAGACAGAGTTTCACTCTTTTTGCCCAGGCTTGTGTACAATGGCACAATCTCAGCTCACTGAAACCTCTGCCTCCAGGGTTCAAGTGATTCTCGTGCCTCGGCCTCCTGAGTAGCTGGGATTACAGGCGCCCACCACCACACCCAGCTAATTTTTGTATTTTTAGTAGATATGGTGTTTCACCATGTTGGTCTCAAACTCCTGATCTCAGGTGATCCACCAGCCTCAACCTCCCAAAGTGCTGGGATTACAGGCGTGAGCCACTGCACCTGGCCTAGAGAGCACACTTTTAAAGAGCACTAGAAAATTACTATTTTCTCTGATATTTTAAAATTTCAAAAAGTCTAAAAACATCTCAAATAAAGGTGGTTTACTAGAATGTTCCTTTGATTACCCCCACAACAGTAAGAGAACTAAGATCTGAAAATTCAAGTTTTCGTGCTCATTTTAGTATTCGATTGTTGTTTCGTTTGAGACCTAGGTATTAAAGAACAATAACCACTCAAAAAATCAAAGGCAGACCAGAGATTCATGAATAAACACAACTATGCACATACACACATGTACGTGCATGTATGCACACACACCTAAAGGTTAAAAAAAGATTTAAAATATATTTGTACTCCTAAAATAAATAGGTAAATATTGAAGTGAACTGGAATAAAGAAAGAGTCAAAAATTAAATGCATGCAGAGTAGAGGAGCTTTTAAACATATTAGGCCAAGGCTCTACCATAGAATCATAAGAGCTATTTTTAATAAATATTAATATGTAAACATGTTTTAAAATCATCAGCTATCAGAGGCACCTTAATACAGATAAAACATCTGCCATAAATATTAATACATCAATGTATTCTGAAAGCATCAACATGCAGAGATGTGTGTGCTGATAGCTTAATGTTCAGGTAATCATATAAACTTGTAAGCTATACTCTTTTGGAAATTATAAAGCTATCACACAAAAATGTAAACATTTAACATTAATATTCAACAGAAACAACAGCAAATCAGGATAAAAACTCTATGAGTAATCTTACTTTCAGGCCAAATATTTTCCAATAAATGAGCAATCATCGACATGCTTTGCCATCTCAATTAATATTCTCCAATAGCAAGTTAAGCATAAGCTAGAGGCTACAACTTAAGGAAATATGAGTTAGAAAAGCTTTTTCTTTGTCAATGGTTCCCTATTTAATCTATAGAGAACATTCTTTATTTTCACATTTTGCAGGAAAGTCCCTTTTGAATATTTAAGTAGATCACATTATAAATCAACACTGACATTTTCATATTTTATCAATTATGAAAACGAAAAATCCAGAGTTTAAAAAAAATAAGCAAACATAACCTTAAGTGATCTCGTATTTGTTAGGAAGATCCTGAGTAAAACTGACATAGCTAATCTTAATTGATAGATTCTTCCAAAATATCTCTATGAAAAAAACACCTGGAAGATTATCAAGAAAAAAGTTTTCAAGTAGACACTGTACTTTGAGTAGAACATTCTCAAAGATAAGCACTATCTATATTTGAAGAGAGAAGAAATACTGATAATTGGTACCCAAAAAGTTATAAATTTTTGTAAAGTAGAAATATATCTAATAAAAAGACACACTCGTATGAAATGTGTAAATATATATGTGTAATATGCACAAAGACACATACACATGCATCTGGAAGTCATGACTGTGGACCATTACTACAAATAACTGAGAAAATTAAAAGTAGATCTATTTTGTCCATTAGTGTTGCTAAGAGCAAATTTCTTAATTTCAAAATTATATTCATAATTTACCTTAACATACCAAAGCAAAGAAGAAAAGCGAAACACAAATCAAGTACAGTACTTAGAAAACATACACCCTGTAACCTTTAGCATTTCTGTTACATGACAGATATTACAGAAATCCATTTAAAAATTCCATTGCAATTGAATTTAAAAAACCCATCTCCATTTACCTGAGAGCAAAAGGATATCTCCTTAAAATTTTTCTCCAATGCTATTTTTTTGGTGTCAGGACTGATGAGGTAAACTTCAGACTGGCCAATCTTAAAAGACAAACAAAAAAAATCTAGCTTTTCAAACTTTCTCATTTTATGACCTATAAAAATAAAGAATAAAAGGGGCAAGCTCCTATAAAATTCTGACTCTATCACTGTAGAAATCATTTCAAAGGTTCCCTCTTATCCTCTGGATTTCAGGTCACACTGGACATCTGTTAGTGCCTTCACCTACATAAGACAGCAGTCTTCCTTGAGATGAAAGAACCGGATATCCAAAAGTTAGCAACAGGCCTCAAGATCCACACATCCCCTAAAAACTGAGGTCTTCACATAAGTGAACCTTCCAGAAAACAGAATCTACTCTTTGAAAGCTTCCAAGATACTTTGGAAATGATTTTTACTGACAAGTCTTTTTAAATTGTTGTTAAAATAATCTACCATTTGTATAGTACATATTACATGTGAGGCATTCACATACACTAGTGACCGGACCTTTTCAAGTTAGAGTATGAGCATCAATTACAATCCTCTTACTGCCTTGGGACATGCTAATAGACACGCATTTTAGGAGACTGCTGTGTTGCAACACTCATCCTACTGTGTGTGCACATGCCCCTGCAGGCTATGAAAGCCTGCCTTTTAGACTCCATGTCTCCGAAGCGCTAAGCTTCTTGGGTTTCAGTGTATGTTGGTTTCTATAGCTCTAGTTTCTCCTCAGGACCAATAAGTCAGTGGTCACATCCTGATGCTGCCACTCTAACTCCCAGACCCATCTCCTCCTCTAAACACTCTACGTTTTGATGTTAAAGACAAACCAGATACACAAGCTTGTTAGAAACTGGGGTGTAAGTCAAAGGGAATTATATTCTCAGTGAGGGAGCCCAAGAAACGTGCATTCTGTTTGGGGCATGGACTTTGCACTCTGAATTGTTTTTGCACACTTACTGTTTCTGAACTGTATTTCAGCCAGTAGAGAGTGGCAGGTAGCCTTTTACTCTCATCCTTCCATGGAGACCAAGGATGATGAAAAACTAATTCATTTTTAACATGCAACATCTTTCTAAATTAGACTGTCTCTCTCTCTAGAGTAGGAGCCAACACAATATCCTCCTTATTTGTAAACAACGAATAAATATCTATTTGGAGTATGTTTAGCCTCTTTACAAGTCACTGTCTTTACCTACATAGTGAAGATAGTCCTTACTTGTTTTTAAAAATAACCTTTGAAAATCTCATAAGGTGAGAGGCTCCAAGACATTATTATTTGGCTGTGGCTGGGTTGTAAAGAGCAAGTCAGAATTTAAAGTTGGGTGGGGCTCCTGAGATCCCTCTCCTTCCCCATGGCATCCAAAGGATTATACATCCCATTAATTTGACTTTCTGCATGTCTGTCGCTTCCACTCCCACTGCACTTCACAACCCTACTATCTCGCACCTGGACTACCACAACAGCTTCACTCCCCTCCCCACCCTACTCTTGCCCTCCCCCAAGTATCCTGGCTCTGTAGCCAAAGATATTTCACACTGTGTTTTAAAGCATGCGGTGACTACCCACTCCTTTCAGGATAAAAACCAAACCCTGACCGAGACCCATAAAGTTGTGCCTAATGAACATAACTTTCGTGGGGCTGCCTCCAGTCCCAGCCCCATCTCTACGCACCATCCTTCCTTGTTTTCAGTGCAGCCATCTGGACTTATTTCTCACCCAACAGGTGTCTACAGAGCACAGCTGTGCTCTAGGCACTAGCAACGACAACAGTGAACAGAGACATGAAAATCCATGCCCTCTTGAAGCCTATCTTCTTGGGGGCATGTGGGACATAAAATGTTTTACTTGTTTATTTGTAATTGTATCAAATGGTAAAAGTGCTATGGAGAAAAATAAAGCAAAAAACCTGGAAGTGAGGTTGCTACCGGCCTTACTGATACAATTATTCCTCCATGTCAACATTTCAGCAGAGACCTAGAGGAAGCAAGAGGAGGTAAGACCACAACAACTGAGGGAAGAATGCTAAGCAAAGGGGGCACTCAGGCCTCCGGGATTCTCCAGGCACCAGGCGCCATCCCTACCTTTAGGACCTTCTCATCTGCTGCTCTGTGAGCCCAGAAGACCTTCCCAGGTGGCCACAACGAAACCTTATGTTAGGTGAAAATCACTTTCTCAAAGAAGCCTTTCCCGATTACCCTGGGAAATGCTCTCAGGCATCCTGTACCTCTCCTCCACAGCATTTACCACAAGTATAATTAGATAATTATTTGTGCACTCAGTTGCCTGTCTCCTTTACTGGAATCTAAATTCCATGTGGGCAGAGACCATACTTGTCTTGTTCACGGTTGCATTTCCAGCATGTGGCAAGGGACGTTAGCACAGCAGTCAGTTAGTACTTACAAATAAATGCAGGGAGCAGCTTTCTCAATGTCACTTTTTAAAATTTTTTTTTTTAAATTTTTTAAAAATACACAGATCACAAATTAAAGCACAAATCTGACTACTCTTTTCGGTACACTAGATTAATGGTCAAAAGATGAAAACCTCAGACCTATTTACCCTTGGGTGCACCCCCTTGGTTTTAAACCTGCACACATCCACACTTCACTAACCTAGGTAGCCGGTTTTTTACCCCCTGGCCATCTCACTTGTGTCCTGAATTAGACACAAAAAGGGGACTTTAAGGTAATTTTGTTCTCTACAGAATGTCAGTCAGCATTAAGCCAAAGAGGAGGCCAAGAAAAAAACTAGCTCCTCCATTGTCAGAGACGGGCTCCCTGCTGGGACAGCTCCACACCTCATCCATTCAGACCGGGGGGACTCCCAGGGAGGGCACACCCACTCAGAAGAGCCCAGGTCAGCATGGAACCAGGAACCCCACCCACCTGAGACAGCCACCGCCACCCCCATCCAGTCCTTTTCTAGCATTTGGCTGTCAATTTAACTTTTTTTCTTATTAAAAAAAAAAAAAGCAAGCAATTGGCTAAATTAACATTTCATTTTGGGTATAAATTTCAAATAAAATGTCACTCACAAAGCCACTCATCCTAATTAGCAAAGGGTAAATGTTTCATAAGTAAAAATATTAATAGTAGAGAGGGTGTTTTCCAACTAAAAGATTCTGTTGAAATATATCCTCTGAAATTCATATTTATTTTTAAAATCTCTCTGCTGGCTTTATTTACACGTTTTCACTGTTCTTTCCACACTGAAAAGGTGTCTTTATAATTACGAGGTGAGATAAAAATGACACATGGGCACGGGATGGATCTCTGTTTCTCCCTGATGACTGTAAAGGCTTATGGCTAAAGGAAGGATCTCATCCTAAGAACAGAATTGTTCAGCATGAAAATATATGGATTCACACATAAATCAAAAGCAACTGACTAAGAATCTTCACTCCGTAAAGGAGATTTTCTCTTGAACGCGTACGGCACACTGGGGCTGTGCACCACCTGGGTGATATTTTACCGTGAAGAGCATAGTTCGATTTTCCTCGATGTCTGTGGGCTGCACAATATTGTGTCCGCTAATGAGGTGGTTCTCAATGTCGCTCTCCTCGAAGGAGCTGAAGAAGCCGCTGCTTCGGAGACCCCCATCCTGCAGCTCCTTCCTAAAGGCCAGAGAGCGCAGGCCGGGCTGGGAGAAAGACTTGCGCATGGGCCTGCGCCCAGGCTCCTGGCTCCCTGTGGGCGTGGCATGGGGCGGGGCGGGGCGGGGGCTCTCGGACCCCAGGCTGCCGCTGACGTGATTGAACTTCTCGATGCACTCGTCGATCAAGGCTGGCGGAGCCTTCTTGTGCGCCACTGTCACGCGGCCGCAGAAGAGCACCTCGAACTTCTTGGAAAACGTGTCATCGAACTCAGAAGGGCAGTGCAGCTCCTCCTGCCGGGCGATCTTCCCCGCCTGACGGATGGAGCTGATGATCTCAGGCACCTGCCGGGAGAGGGAGGAGTGTTATTTGGAACATGCAGTGTGGCTGGCACTCACGGAATGAACGCACCATGCTCTCTCGGGGCGCACTGCTGGCTACTCCACCGCGGAGCACTGGAGGAGGAGCCCACAGCAGGGGACTAGGAATGTCTTCCCATGGGAGGTGAACACACAGCTTGCACAGAGAAGAGAAGGGGGACACTTACGAAGTACCTCTTACAGGCCAAGGGCTGCGCTAGAGGATTTACATGCCCACAGCATCCTGCAAGGTTCAACCACCAGCCCCGGGACACAAACAGCCCAACCTAGCAGGCCTTGGATTCAAGCCCAGGTTGGTCCCACTCCAAAGCTAAAGGTCCCCTCTGGAGAAGCTGTGGCCTCCCAGAGAAGTCTGTCTCCAACGTGGTTCACAAAACATGACTCAATTATTCTAGATCTCATGGCAGTATACTTTGGAAAGTCTTCTTTAATAAATGGCGGGATGAAGACGACAAAGGCTCTGCAATTATCCATAAATTATTTATTCAAATCCCAGCACCATTATTTCCTTCCATGACAACTCAGTCCTATATTTCCTAGCAGGTGAATCGTGACTAGTATGTCAACAAACCTAGGAAGTTTTAATCAAGGAGTGAGCAACTCATGACTAATATTATCACAGCAAATATGCTCACCAGGGCTTCTTCACAAGGAGACTATAAAGCTTTTGGTTTCTAATGTTTAAAAATCATGATTAAAAGAATCTACTAAAAGATCTCGTCTGCCATGGTGTTGTCCCTACTGCTACATCCTCTCATCATTAACCTCTGAGAAGGTTCTTCAAAGCAGCATTAGACATAAAGATGAATCCGCATGGCAGTGAATGAACAGCTGTGCAACTGCTCAGATGATGGACAGCCACAACACTAATATTTGTGGTCAGGCATGGAGTTAAACAAGGCTAAGGCAGTCATAAATTTAATCTTCAAAAGGGCCTACTTTTTGTTACGACCTAACACCTAAACCAATTTTTTCCATTTTTCTATGTAAGGAAAATTCAATTTAAGGCCCAATACCCACAGGCCCAATGTCTTTTTAACAACGTTATAGAGAAATGTTAAAAATCCCCTTTCCAATTCAGGTCAAAGGTCAACACATACAGTAAAGGAGGTGGTTTTAAATTTTAAGAGTATCCTTGTATTCAGTGTTCATGACATAATTCCCAAACCCAATGACTGGAAAGATTTTTCTCTTTGTGATTTCATATCAAATACACCTTAAAAATCTCTCTGCCATAAAGATTATGATCTATCCTTTCAAGGTATTTTATCTACAAAGAGTCAAAAATCTTTAGGAAAGTTTTATATTTTAAAGAATTGATTCCTGATGAGACCTAAATGATTTTAAAAGCCAAAATTTCAGCCAGCCGTGGTGGCTCACGCCTGTAATCCCAGCACTTTGGGAGGCCAAGGCGGGCAGATCACGAGGTCACGAGTTTGAGACCAGCCTGGCCAACATTGTGAAACCCCATCTCTACTAAAAATACAAAAAATTAGCTGGGCATGTTTAGCTGGGCGTGGGGGTGGGTGCCTGTAATCCTAGCTGCTTGCGAGGCCTCAGCAGGAGAACTGCTTGAACCTGGGAGGTGGAGGTTGCAGTGAGCCGAGATTGCCCCACTGGACTCCAGCCTGGGTGACAGCATGAGACTCTGTCTCAAAAAAAAATAGCCAAAATTTCAACAGGTCAAGCTCTGTCTGCACTTAGCACTCGCTTGGTTATAGCCCACTTTTATACTGCCAAATAATCATACATCACGCAGAGGCCTAAAAACTGTTGGTCAATTATAAAAAGAAGACAGGACAGAGAGAAGAGAAAATAGGAAGTCTAGGTTTCATTCACATCTTTGCCAATGGTTCACAACAGAAGCCTGGTAAAAACTTAGCCACAGTTAGACTGGGCATGTTAGTGCATGCCTGTAAATCCCAGCACCTTGGGAGGCCAAGGCAGGCGGATCACTTGAGCTCAGGAGTTCAAGACCAGCCTGGGCAAAATGGCGAGACCTCGTCTCCACACAAAATACAAAAATGAGTCAGCCAAGGTGGTGTGCGCCTGCAGTCCCTGCTACTCAGGAGGCTGAGGCAGGAGGATTGCTGGAGCCCAGGAGATGGAGGCTGCAGTGAGCCAAGATGGTACCACTGCACTCCAGCCTGGGTGACAGACCCTGTCTCAAAACAAAACAAAAACAACAACAACAACAACAACAACAAAGCCATAGTGACTCTCCAAAAAAGAATTTATAAGATTTTCCTGGTAAAAGTGATTTCTGTAAAGAACATTTGTCAAACAAAAATAATCAATTTATACAAGAACCCTGCCACTCTTCTAAGCAAGTATATAAGATTATTTTAACAAGTCATGTGACTCTTCCCAATTACTAACCCCACTCTGAACAGAAAATTCAAACCTCATTCAGTCCTCTGAGGCTTATGAAAATACCTGACGTTTCTACATGCTGCGTCTTCCGCTGCATCTGAAGTGAGCAGTGACGTCTTTCATTATATATCAAAAGGGAGAGAAAATGTGTGAAGTCACATAATTTACTGGTGACTCAGCAGGAAATGGTACAAACAAAAAGACGATACAAAGTAGATCACTTGACTGTTCCCTGGATTCCCAGGGTCAGAAGAAACTGAAGAATACATCATAACTTGGTCACGATAGAGGCTGTGATAGTTTTTCCAAGGACCAATCTCTCCTATCCTTTTCTCACAATCTTAAAAAGACATACTTTAGTCAAAGACCAAAGTCTCTCTCTCCTTGCTCTGGTAAGTTTTAGTATTCAGGCATAATTGAGCTCAAGGTTCTCACGCTCAGGGTAAGGTGTGCCCTGTCATTCAGAAGCACCAAGAAATTATGCGTAATACAGATATAAAGGAGATAACTGAGGTCTAAAAACAAAAATCATTGGGATCCTGATCAGAAGACTAACAATTTCAGAACATTTGAAGGCAAAGGGCATACTGCCAAATATAGTTTCAACAACAAATTACAAATAATTAAAAAAACCTAATGCCATTTAAACATTACTTTAAGTTAGTTAGTCAAGTATACTAAGAGACTAAAGAAAAAACGGGTTCTACCTGTGTGTAAGTTTATAAAACCCTCTACCAGAACGGACCTGGAGCACTGTTTTGTTTTCCTCTTTCTTTTTTTGGGACGGAGTTAAGCTTTTGTTGCCCAGGCTGGAGTGCAATGGCGCAATCTCGGCTCACTGCAACCTCTGCACCCCAGGTTCAAGCAATTCTCCTGCCTCGGCCTCCTGAGTAGCTGGGATTATAGGCATGTGCCACCACACTCGGCTAATTTTGTATTTTTTCAGTAGAAATGGGGTTTCTCCGTGTTGGTCAGGCTGGTCTTGAACTCCTGCCCTCAGGTGATTCACCAGCCTCGGCCTCCTAAAGTGGTGGGACTACAGGCTTGAGCCACCGCGCCCGGCCTCTGGGGCACTATTTTCTAAAAAAATGAAGGCATAATGTCCACTTGTGATAAAATCCTAAATTCTTTATCTTTATAACTCCGTCCTAGACTCACCTATTTGCAAGGAGGACTTGAGTCATTTACTTCATTTGATTTCTATGCATTTTTCTAGGCATCTCTAGATGCCACAGCCAGGAATTCAAAAATGTGAGATGAATGTAAGTGAGTCCCTGCCCAGAGAAGAGGTTTAGTTAGAATCCTTTACAGTAATTGAGATGGGGCATGTTGAGAGCCTGAACTGAGAACTAAGCCCTGAAGGCTGAGAGAAAGGCTGAATGAAGGATTCTGGAAGACAGGACCAACAGGATTTGGTGGTGCCCCGGCTGGGGGGCTGAGGACACTGAAGACAGGGCATGGTGCCAGGGCTCTGGCTCAGGTTTCTATGCGGATGGCTGTGCCACTAGCTCACAGAGGGAGTGCAGAGTGGAGAAGGTTTGGGGAGACAGTGCAATGAGTTCTGCTTTTGTCTACGCTGAGTAAGACCAGGAAGACTCGAAAGTAAAGGCATCTAGCTGGGTAAGTGGGCCTAGAGTCCAAGACAGGGGCTCTAGACTGGACATGAGCAGCTCACATCTGGGAGGGAAAGTAAAGGAAGGGAGCCAAGACAGGTCCCTGGGATACCCCAACATTTCAGGTGTAGAGAAACTGAGGAATCGCAGGCAGAAAAGGCCTGCGGGGGGAGGCAAGGATAAGGTTAGAGACGCCCAGAAAGGGGACACCCCATCTTCAAGAAAAGGAGTCAGCAACTTAGAATAGGCTAAGGGCCGAGAGAGCTGGCTGTAGCTTCTGCTCATACAGATAAGTAAAAATAAATAAGGGGAAAGACAATACTAAACCCCCAAAATAAACATGCCTAACTGAAAACTGTCCTCAAGTAAAACTTTAGTCTAAAAGAACAGGCCGGGCGCAGTGGCTCAAGCCTGTAATCCCAGCACTTTGGGAGGCCGAGACGGGTGGATCACGAGGTCAGGAGATCGAGACCATCCTGGCTAACACCGTGAAACCCCGTCTCTACTAAAAATACAAAAAACTAGCCGGGCGATGTGGCGGACGCCTGTAGTCCCAGCTACTCGGGAGGCTGAGGCAGGAGAATGGCGTGAACCCGGGAGGCGGAGCATGCAGTGAGCTGAGATCCGGCCACTGCACTCCAGCCTGGGCGACAGAGCGAGACTCCGTCTCAAAAAAAAAAAAAAAAAGAACATATACTTCCAATTACAATATTTACTGCAAAAACACAGATCCTTGTAGGGCAAATACACCGAGGCCAGTGGATTTATTCCCACTGATATGATCTGGGTACTTTTAGTGAAAATCTTTTTTTAGTTTTGTCGGAGCAATAGTATCTACGTCATTTCTGTTTGCAGACATTTGCAGACAAAGTAAATCATAATCAACTATTGCACAAACAAGAACCCAAAAAGCATCTTATTGGGACAGATTCAATAAGGGTGTGGGGCTTGGTTTTAATTTTCTTTTAATGAAGAAAG